CAAGTTGTGTGTGTCTCTCACCGGCTGCTGGTAGAGCCACTTGGCTCAAGAAGAAAAGACTGGTTTTGGTCGCCAGATGGAGCCAGGAGGATACCCTTGGCCTGACTCGGTCCACGAGGAATCATCACTCACCTGTCATATATACACAGAAAGAACAATGACATGACGCGTTCGTACCACGTGACCTGTATGTACATGTGAACCTCTGTTTTACTGCCTACAACGGTGGAGACCGAAACGTACATGTAACACGAGTTCCGGCCCATATTTATACTTCTATGAAAGTGTGAGGCACATACATACATAAGTAAAGGAGCGACGGATAATTATTGTATGCACACATTCATAAAAAATGACGTGTAATACGTGCAGTGCCTTCCACATTCAAAAAAACGCGTGTGCAAATGTACAGTATGTACATACAGCACCAAATAAAGCATGAAGGTATAGAAACATCTGCACAAATAAAAACACACACCTAAACAAAAGTAATTCGTCAGCTTGAACAGTTTAGATTCTGTAAACCTCAGTCTCAACAAAATAAACGTGTCAACAACGCGGTGAGGTACGTACAAGGCAAAGGCAATAGGAAAGCAACTACACCCATAACATGATTCACAACCAGTTGTGTACTACATGAACATAGGGTGAATTGAACAGTCCTATAGAGTACACTGACCATATTTATCTCTGAGATTAGCAGAGCAGCGGAAGACTCCTCCAAACCCCACGTCTTCCCCAAATATGGCTGCATGGAGGAGAGAGAACAATGAGGAACATGTGTACACTACCCCTGTCTTACACCATATTACGGTGCAAGTCGAGACACGAGACGAAACGAAAATGCTAGCAGACACTGCCACCATACAACATGTTCGTAGCACCATTCCACTAGAGCACCTGGCTGATAAAAGATTGCCGCAGAACTGGAAATAATAAGGATGAAAACTTTTTCTCTATATACAGTACACTACTAGCACCAAACAGTATGGGCTATCGCGTAGTGGTGTGTTTCTTTCTAACAAAATGGACACTATTTGCGTGTGCCTGGGTGTCAGGGGTTAAAAGAAGGGCAACAATACATCGATCACATGCTGTAGTTGGTGGGCAGTGTCTAACCTGCAGTGGAGTCAGTCTCCATGGCAATGTCAAGAGCATTGTTTATGGCATGGACCAACTTCATGTTCTCTGTCTTCCCTGAGAGATACATAGAGAGTTGTAGAGAGTGCATAATGTGTATACAGATAGCGGATGAATACTGTGCTGGCTAAAGGTCTGGTACAATAATATTTCCAGATATATTATTATTCCAAACAAAGCACACCGTCCAACTCCTAGGAGGAGTTGCTTGCAATAAACAGACTGAGCTCAGAAAAACAAAGACAACCAGTGCTCATAGTTTGGGGAGCAGCACAAATATCTAGTATTAGCAAGTGAGCCTAACCCCCAACGAACTACAAGATCTGAATTGAGGGGTTTTAGCCTCAGCTACCAACGCCGGCCACCATTGGCAGCACCTACCCTTAACTCACGTCTATACTTCTCTCCATACGCGCTCAGACGTTTGTTGGGTTTGGAGGCGAGGCGCGCCATCCCATGACCTTCTCAGATAACCTCGGCTCACCTTCCACTGGTGGCTTCTCAGGTACGTAGGCTTCTCCACTGGCCAGTCTCACTGGCAGCCGCTGCAGAGAGCTTCCGAACCTTCTCTGGAGGAGAGATCTCGCCAGTCTACCTGCCATGTTGAGTCTTTCAAGGGCGATCGAGACGCTAAACTGTAAAAACGCAAGCCGTGTAAACGCACTCAGGTAAACGCACTCAAAACTTACGCGCGCCCATGCGCTTATTCTTTAGTGGGCACAAACAGCCATCGAAAAAAATAACTAACAAAAATACATGAATAATTATAAGTTAGTTTAATGCTATTTTTGTTTTACTCCTGCCTTTTCCCATGTTCCTCATCGTAAATTTCTGCAAAAACAAAGACATAGTGATGTAGCTATTATGATAGATTCCTTTACCTTCAATTCTATCACCGACTGCCTTTATTGCAGGTTCTGCCTTGAGAGCTTGAATCAATACGTGGAGGTCTCCAGGGGTCACTGCAATGCGACGCTCCATCGCCTGGAAAATCTCCTCCAGTTTTTGTTGGGCTGTCAGTGTCTGTTGTGTGGCTCTGGCCTTTTCTTCGGAGTCAGCAGCAAGTTACTGTAGAGCACTTTAACAATATTATCAGGGTCTACCCCACTTGTGAATATAGTATTGCTTCGTCGAAGAGTCCTAGACTCCACTGACATTGTGAGACTCCGGCTGGCTATTGGTTGTGCAGGGGATGCATGTGATTCTCTTGGTGTGTGAGGCTGAGAGGGGGCATTTGAAGAGACTGAAGACAGTGGTGACAGGCATTAGACTGAAGTCCAAGGCCTAGTGGTTGGTGCTGGCTTGTGTAATTGCGTGCTATAGATGATGGAATAAATGCTTACTGAAAAGGGTGAGGATTAATTGAACATCCTTCGACTCCAATTTCAGTTCCTCTTCCTTTGGTTTCCCTTGCCCTGTGGATTTCACATTCAGTTGTATTTTTAGCAGGTGATGTTATACTCCCTGTATTCTCGGATCAGTCTGGTTAGAATGTCGAGGATCAAAATGCCGGTACGAGCAGTTGTCCATTTCCCCATATCCATCCAGTGGTTCGTCTGGTATTGAAGGTAGCTCTTGTGGGGTGTAGTCACACAATATGGGTTGCTTGATCCCGCAACAGCATCAGAGTACTGTTTTTGTGACAGCTCGATGAGTGACGAGTGTATGTTTTGTTTGTGACAACAAAAGTTGCAGCAAAAGCAGCCGTTTTGTTTATCTGTGATAAGATAGCCTGGGCAGGACGCGACATTCTCTCCACCCAAGTTTATGGCAAGTATTGCCAGAATACTGAAGTTTTTCAATTCTATGTCCCCATAAAAAGTTTTAAGTTTGATAAGGAGGAGAAATTCCGCCATCTAGAGGTGATTGGTACACAGTGGGAGAGCCACGTGCTACATGAAACACTAGAGAATCTCTCTTCTTCAATTACAGCCAGTGTTGCATACGTATATCACTGAACAGGAGTTTACCACTTGGAGTGATTGTCCCTGTCGCGTCACTATTGGCATTTCGACACCACCCCGATGAGCAGGATGTAGTCGTCAGTGGCAACATGGACTGAAATGTCCACAGGTTTCGTCGCACTGTCCTGCTGGGAAAAACCCGGATACCAGTTGTACGAGTGTAGGAAATGCACGTCCGGTGTACGACCAGGAATACATCATCTACTACGTGAACAACAGGATCACATTCCAGTTCAGATGTTTCGATTGCAGGTGTTTGATGAGAAAAACTGCCAATACCCAGTTCCCTGCAGTGAGTCCTGAAGAGAAAAACAAAACAGCGATAACCTTTCTGTGCTTCAAAAAGGTAACCTCTGGCTCTAACTGCCTCCCACGCAGTCCGAGATATACACATTGACTTTGTCTTTTCCTAAGGGAGGCGTTACAAAGCGAAGTAGCACGAGGCTGGTAATAGTGTTGGCAATTGCTAATACGTGGCTACTGAGTGTCTAGAATACACTGTGCAAGACTTGATTGCTGTTAGCACTGTAAAAAGTAAAGTTTCCCCCCACGTGGTATCACCATGATCTGGCACAAATTGGGCATCTTACTTTGACTAAGAGATTTCACTGTAAGACCGACCATCAGTGAAACATTATCCGTAAGTACGGTAGTATTTAATGGGATGAAACAGATCCAGCATCATGCCCATACATTTGAGATTTCATGTTATAGAGTGCAAAGCTTTCGGCTTGTTTCCATGAACACACTCGTCGAATTAAGCTCTAAAATGGTTCCTCCTTCATATATCAATTTTTGTGCAGATATGTAGTAAGTGAAGGCAGCTTACCCACACTTACTGGCAACGTTGGATAGCAACAGAATTTTACAAACATTATTATAATAGAAGCACCTAGTTACTAGTTACATATTACACTTACTTTTTCTTACTTTCTCTTCAATGTCATCAGCAAGAATCCGATGCCAAGGGATGTCCTGTGTCTCCCTTAGACAACGATAGAATATCTGGGATCCATTGGGAATGTTATACAGTTCTCTAAATAACTCTAGAATCATATTATAATCATTGCAGTTAATTCTGGGTGGAAGTCGGTAAAATGCTTCGCTATCTATGTTATGACTCATAAACTGCCTGTGGAGGACATGGAAGTCAATATAGCCCCTAATTATACTTCCATGACGTAAACACCATAATATATCTCTCCGTGTGATACGTGGATCACCCTCAGTAATGTCTGCAAGAGAAGCTTGTGTCACATTTGGCTAAAACACACCTAGAAGCTCACCATGCATAAGACGTGTTGTGGATTCCTGAGTAAGTTTTAACATCGAACTCGTTTCTCTTTCTTTAGTGGCTGTTGCTTCAGTGGTAGCCATGGAATGTGCGGTATGAAGAGATTCCTAAAAATTAATGTGAAATAAAATGTACCACATGTATGTAGTAGCTACCATGCGTATTGCCACAAAATCAATACTCTTCTTCTGTAATGTGCACTTGAGTCCACTGGCTACGCACACGAGGGGTTTTTGCACCAACACATTTTAGTGAGAATGATCTACTAGCACTCAAGTATACAATATTTTCCTGTCATTCAGTATCATACTTATGGCTAACGTCTAACCTCTGTGTGTGCGTAATGAGATGAAGGTTAATCAACTTACTTGTACTGAATCTTGAACACGGAAAATAGATTCTTTATCTATTTCAACTGACGTGACTTTGAAATCTCTGAAGGCTTTGAGTCTGCCTTGGCTTCCCTTCAGCTGCTGAATAACAGTTACTTGTAGGTGAGCGAACCAGGTAACTTTAACTGATCCAATCTTGATTCCATCAAGCATCATCACGCAATCTGGCAGACCAAATATGTCCAAGAAACCCATTCGAAAATCCTCTAAACTCTGGAGTGTGGCAGTTCGGTAAATTCATGTTCCGTCACCATTCTCTGGAATCCAGGAGGGGCGAAACCAGTGTGAAGAACAGTAGCACGACAGTACAACAGCAAACTAGTGTCCCGCCGAAAACTTTCTACTTCTTTCATATAGAGCAAAATTTCATTTTTGCCATGCAAGCAGCCTTTGAGAGGGTGTTCGTCAAGCAATTGTTTCAGGAGATTGAAAGAGAGATAGTTCCAGTACAAGTTCAGGTATCCAAAAAGTTCCCAATGATCCCTGCATTCATGGAGATCTTTATTGTGTCCACCCTGGACTGCCTCCCGGATGTTAAATCCAAGGATAGTGGTAACCAAAGACACAACTGTAACCACCGCGACCTGACATCTCTGAAGACCCTGTATGGTTGACTTTCTGATGGACCGGAATCTCGTGCAAGACTTTTCACCCTGCCTTTGAATGAATCAACTGCGAAATTGAGAGATTGGTTGCTGATAAAGTTAAGGAACTCTCTTGTTTCCTACTACAGCAAAAGGGCAATATAAAAAGTGTGCTATTATGTGGCACACTTCCTAATCCGGTAATCTAACAGTGGCCATCTTGAATAGAAACATGCACAAGGCAGATGAAAAGCGGATAGCATGTGGACCAAATTGTTGCCACATGGAAGATGTTGACACAGTTGTGACGTAATTATACACTGATTGATAGGCTGGGCTCTTTATAGTACTTACTCGCAGTCTCTTGCAAGCTATCGGGGAGTCTGACACTAGCTAGATAGCATGCGAGAGAGTTTTATGTTACAACTGTGAAAACATATTCCATGTGGTCAAGGGAGAAAGTATAATTCTTACCAAGTGATGGCTTTGATTTGACATCTTCCTCAAGAGTAGTAGAGCTAGACAATTTCTCTGCTGGAATAAGTGGATATTAAAAATTCAAAGCAATGACACAAAAATATACGCACCAGCACTGAGATCGGGCTTGGAAGTAGTAAAAGCTGATTCTATTTCCTCTGCTAGGTCAGGCACATCTACTTCAGGACTCCTCAGAGCTTCTCCGAGAGCCTTCCAAGTGGGCCTGGACCCTGAAGCGCTCGTGGACTTGATCAGAACTTGAAACAGGCATCGTGCGGCGTGGAGAAGGTGCGGTGGATGTGCTCCACCACTGGTTGGGAAAGTCCCAGTTTGAGACCGAGTTCACGGGAGCTGATCCGTGCTGGCAGAAGCTCCCTCACTAGGTCAGCGGCGTCGTCTGGAGTAAGTTTCTGTTCTGCTGCTGGGAAATATGTACAAGGTAACCAGTAAGATACGCATAGCAATGCTAGTTCTAACCGACTGCCATTCTTTATCTGTCTCACGGGTCGGAGGGACGGGAGAGGGAGAGTGCTAGCTAGCTAGCTAGCTAGCTAGCTACAGTTTTAGATAAACAAGACACACCCTAAAACTTAGGGGGTGGGGCTTGCACCATCACGTGACCGTTGTTTCCTTGGAAACGGTGCACGCCGCTCGCGTGTTGGTGTAACAGTGCGCAGGCTGAATGTGGAGAAGAGGATTCACTGCGGTTAGGGCGGACAGACATCGCTGCTAAGGAATGTACGGTCGAGGAGTGAGGCTGTTGACTCAGCCAGCCCTCAGCACGGCTCCCGGAGTGGGTCCCGGGACATACCGGGTGGACGATGGGACGAAGCATGCTGGAGGTATATACATAGCTAGCTATGCATCTTAGTTACTGTGCTTTCGGCCACCTAACTTTCCCTAGCGAGACACTTTCACAGAAGTCATCTCTAAGAAGTTTACTTTACATGCTTCATTGCCGCGGCCCAATCCACTATGTCAGCATGCTGAATTCGGGTTTTGGCTCGTACTGGCAACGCCTTGTAGGGATTAGTTCAGAACCACAAGTGCTGCGCCTGAGCAAAGCCTTGTGGGGATGAATCTCATTAGTTCAAAACCACAAGTGCTGCGCTCAACTCTGCCTTTATAAACTCGTGATGCCAGAGAGAGAAGTTGCGGTATGCTTTGCTGATGAGGGCTAACAAGCCCGAAACAGCTGTCCAGAGCTCCCATCTTTTTTCTCTTGGCATCACATGGTCTATTGTTACATGCGTGGATTCCTGTCAGCTATACAGTTTTTTTCCTAATGGATGGTGTACAGTTGTCAATGATGTTGTTCCAATTAGAGAGCTATGCTCCCTTCTGCTCTATGGCTGTGAGGAAGTCGTTCCTGACGGTGGACCAGCAGTTGGCCACCGCCCCTGGCCCCTCCCACTACACTCCAGATCTGGAGGACCACGTGAAGGGAGGTGACTCTCTCAAGAGCAAGGTCTGATGCCCTTCATAACACACCTGTGGATTCTGACGTATTCCCCACACTCTACGTAGAATCTCCTTGTGCAGATTCAAGTTACATTACCTACAGTACATTGTATGTAGAATCTCATTGACAAATGTTGCTTTCCTCATCTGCAAAGTCTGTTGTCGTTTTCGTGTCACCAAGAGTTTTTTGGACTATATTTTTCCGTGTACTGTGTGGTTTTTCAGACCCACTAGTATGTGTACATATGTGTACATGCATGCCAAAGAATAGTCACAGCAAAGGAAGGACACATACACATGTAGTTTGGAATGAACACGTAACCTCGGGTCTGGGAGCTACTGTTACATAATATTACTCCCCCTCCCTTTTTCTACTCGAGTGTTCCTTTCCCTCGCTCCCTCTTTTTATCTCTCTTCCTCTCCTCCCTCTGTATGATCCCGGCAGGCTGAGAGGTTCCGGGACAGGTTGTCGAGGACCCCAGGTCCAGGGACCTACTCCGTCTCCAAGAGATCTGACTGGCTGAGGAAGACATACCCTCCACCCTCACCTGGTGACCAGGTGTGTAGGTACTGTATAGTACCTATGATCAAGGGACACTATGATCCTACTACACATGCTGAATCCCACCTAGGGCAGCTGATCTATGTAGCTATTCTGGGTGTAGTTGACCTTTGTTGTGCCTTTGCCTTTCTACATCGTAGTTTACACATGCATTATTTCTGGCATGTACATGCTTACAATATTTTCGTGTGTCAGTTGTTCCAGAGTACTGGGATGATCAAGTCAGGGAGACTGCTGTTCACACGTAAGCAGACGGCTCCCTCCATCCCCACTCCCGGCCAGAGCTACGGATACGACGAGACCGGTGACGGGGATTTAACCCCTCAGCCACTGCCTCCCCAGGACTCTACTATGGGACCAGCCTACTACAATGTCTCCCATGTATACAAACATACAGATATTTACACACACCAGTGTTTTTGCCATGCAACCTTGTTGTTGTTGTTGTTGATATAATAGCCTCACGCTACAGCTGTTATACACTAATTGGTGCTCGAGTTTGTACGTGTATATTGTCTGGCCTTTGTTGCTTTCTCTCTTGCCTTTGTACGTAGAGGCGTGTGCATTACACCCGTGTGTGTTACATGTTCCTATAAGTGTGTGACAAATGATTTCATCTTCCTAGGTATTTCATGCCTAGTTGGCATCGATATGGCAATGGTTGAACCCGGTAATTTCATGACGTACTACATATGTACTTGTGAATGTGTCCAGCACTGACTAGTCTCATCCGTGACATACGTGTACATACCATACACAAATATAACACAGCATTATACTACACTACATGTATGTTGATTGATGTGGTGCAGGATGACACAGTCACTACCAAGAAGTACAGAGGAGTTCACTTTGGGAATCAGAATTCTCTCAGAACTCAGTTCAAAGGTACATCCACGTTAGGGTACGTGTTAGGGTATACAGTACAATGTACTGTACAGTAAAACACTGTACTCTTCCATTTTTGGGTAAACATTTCTACCCATGACCCTACATCTTTGTTCATACACCTTACCACTCTGCAACTGTACATATGTACACATACCCAATAAAGTCTTTCTCAATGTTTGCCTTTGTGTTGTATTGTGTTGAAGATTTGAACCTGCTGAGTCGCCCTTGTAGCTCCGTTGGTAGGGCGCTCGCCTAGAGTGCAGCGTGCCATGGGTTTGAATCCCACCCAGCTCTTACTTTTTCCTTGAAAAGAAACAGCTGTCCTCGGTGTAGTTGACTTGTTTGCCTTTTGCCTAATTACTACAGCACCTTGACACATGCTTACCGTATTACTGTACTACCTCAGGGAGGGAAGGTCCAGGACCAGGAGATTACCACCAGCCAACTGAAGACAGTGCTGACGTCTCCCCTCCTTCTCATCCTCCTCCACAAACTAAAGCAACTTCCTCAAAGAGCGTACGTGTATATACCTTGTTTATTGACCTCACATTTTACACATGAGTACACTTGCTTGCATAAATCTGTACATAGCTTGCCGCACATTATATAAATCTTATAAGTACATACATATGTACGTACAGTATGCGTCAAAAAAACGTTTCCAATATCGTGCGGTTTCGTTTCTGAGAACGGCAATTATCGTTCAATACGTTTGCCGTTTTTGACAGCCGTGCCGTTCCGTTTCGTGTAAGCGAGCGTTGTGTTCCGTTCCGTTCCGTTCCGTTCCGTTTCGTTTCGTTCTGTTGACGCATACTGTAGCTAAAGTGAAAGAGTTGAGTGGGAAAGTTTTGTCTGAACTTTGTTGTAAACTTTTAATCAATGAAACTTGTGTAAAGACAACCTAACTTGTGTATGTGACTAATTCCCCAAAACTTTACCCATTATCTACGGCATAATCCCAAAAATTTTATCCCTTTAATAAACTGTGGCGTTTTTGCACTGTTTATTTATTCATCAGTTGCCTCGATATCACATGATCATCACAAGACAAGAAGAGAAAAAAGTGAGCCTATCTCTACTCACCCCAAGTATACATACAGTGCTACATCACACCACCAATTTACTTAGTTGTTCTTTCAACAAGTAGCCAAAATATCAGTGTTACCCTGTACTGTAGTGTGCACTTTTCATACTTTATTAATGTACAACGGGATCCAAACTCATTCAAAAAAGGTCTAAATAGTCGGACAAAATATTTTCTTGTTCCTAGTAGCATTCAAGCCAGTAAGTTTAAGATCCTGGAGTTTGTGCGTGGGCGATTTTCAAGAATAATAATTGTAGTCGAGAGCCTCTTTATTATTTATCCGCTTGCTGTGTGTGTTGAAACTCGTGTGATTCATGTACAGGCTGTGCCAGGACCTGGAAGGTACGATATAAGGTCTCAATTCAGGACGGACCCATCGGCGGATGGGACGGGACAAAATGAGGATGAGAGGGAAGAAGAGACAGAGGACGCACCTTTTGGCTCGCGAGAAAAGGTGTCGTGTTTGAAACAATTCACATACATACAGTACATGTACACTTATTGCCTGTTCATTGGTATGCATCAAGGGAATGCAAGCACTATGTAGTTCAATTACTTAAGGTGGCTAAGGTTTTTTCATACAGTTTTCCGTGACACCTGCCTTCTATCCTACAGTGTATGGCACTTTTAGAGTTTTTTTGCTTCCTTGCCTCTTTATATGTATTCCTTCTCACTCTTCTGCTATACACCTCAATTTTCCTCTCCCTGCCGCCCCTTTCTCTCCCTCTACCTCTTCTCTTCTGTCTCTCTCTCCACTCTCCTTCTTTCCCCCTCCCCTCCCCCCCCTCTCCATCAGAGGTTCATAGACCCCAAGCACCACTCCCCGTCCTGCACCACCTACCAGGAGCCTCGCTCTGCGTTCTCTCGGGGAAGACTGGGACACGGGAAGGCTCCGTTTGGACAGACCTCACTTCGCTTCAGGAGAAACAGAAGAGACAGGGAAATACCTGGTATTTACCACATAGCTATGTTGCTGTGAGAGTGTCCCTGTATTTTGCAATAGGTCTCTATGTTCTATGTACATCATATACACATTGTGTGTATTTGGTGTTGCTGACCTGCAGGTCCAGGGATGTACAACAACAATCACATGACATCGCTAGTTGTTGACCTCTCCCGGAGATCTCAGTTAGTCTCTAGTAGATACACGTTGTAGCTTACGTAGTATATTGTGTACAAGTAGTATGTACGTAGTGTACTGTAAATAACAATACAGTGGACAATTATACTCACAGAACACTGTTTGAATCTCCAGATGGCCCAAACGATACTTGCTACAGAAGCTTTCTTTGTATGTAGTACTGTATACGTATATGAGTTTTTATGTATGTACATACAAGATAGCTTTGAGTTGAGCCAAACCTTTACTGCCCTGCAGGATTATAATTAAACGCAGGGAAGACAGGGTTCTTCCCCTTCCCCCATGTAAAACCCCGAACTGTGTGTGCTACCTGCACATCGTATATAAATCTTCTGCCGTCATGGCTGCAGGTTTCATGGGACATACAAGTGCCCGTTTGGTAGCACGTCAGTGAGGACTGCCCCTCTAATTAAGAAGGACGTCATCCTTGGCCCTGGCCCCGCCCACTACCAGCCGTCTGAGTCGCAGAGTGTCGAGCCGGGAGACGGTGGGCGGAGTCAGCAGCCGCGGGAGACTAAACCCAGCTACACCTTTGCCTCCACAACCAGTCGCCTCTACTCTCCTCCCTCCATTGTCACTGTGAGAACATATGCCCCACCAACAGCTGTCCAGCTATATATAGTAGCATGCAGTAGAGTCAGCATTCAAGTTTATAATAATTTCCTTACACCCTTTCGATACAAATATCTGCCACACCACGTTTTCCAGAGTGCAAGTAAGTCACATTTCAAAGAATTTGCCAGCCAATAATTACACTGTACGTATGATACTGCATGCACGAGGGTGCTCAAAGTTACGACATTGTGTGCATGTAGTGTTTGTGTGTGACATGCCGTGTGTGTATGTAGAGCTATATTCAGCAATGACAATCAGTTTGCAGAATTCAAAGTGTATTAGCTGTCTGTCTGTATTGCAAGCACGAGTTACCATAAACAGGTGTGACTCGAACTCTAGGAAATTGCATTCAAAAAAACTTTCTCTCCCTGTCTATAGGACATTCCTCCTCCTGGTTCCTATGAGGTCTCAGAATCCTACTCAAGATCTCAAGGTGAGTCTCTCAACTCTCCCTCTGTATTAACACCCAGTATCTACAAGGCCAACATTCACAGTACGTACTGTTTTGCGTTAGACAAAAGTCTCGATCGTGCAACTATCTTCGTATGAACTTTGTATGACTGGTCCATGCAACAAGTTGTGTGCAACACGCAAAGCTTCTATTTTCAGGCAGCATTTTGCAATATGCGTCGCATTTGCATCATCCCTTTTCGTTTCACGCAAAGTTGTGCAGTGGTGTGTACATACAGTATGTATGTTGACCTCAGCTCCTCCTATACACCTCTTGTTACACTTTCCCCGATCAGCATCCATTGTCAAATAATGACTTTATACATTACATAAATTTTGCCAGGAGCAGTACTCTTTCAACATTGACTGGCTGTAATCTCTCTGTATACATACAGATCGAGCTCCATCCAGGGTAACTAAGAGGTCAATGAGAGGGGCGTTCCTGTCATCATCATCTCGTTCCGCACCTCCGCGAGACATCATGCTGGAGGAGCCTGACGTCATGAACCCAGGTGGGATCTTCTCACCCCACTGCCTCACACAATCTGCTGTGATTTCATACTGCGACACACATCTTTATATTGCCATGTACCCATTGAGCTATATTAATGTAGGCAATGTTGAATTAGTGCTATAATGTATTACACTGTGGCAGGTCCTGGTCAGTACGACTACCAGAATCCCCTGGGAAGAGGCAAGCCTGGCCTCCTGTGTCAGAGAGATCTCAGATTTAAACCCATCGGCAACAAAGTGCCTGGTCCTGGAGCTTACACTGTAAGTCAACTCTCATTATTTGTCCAATACACTATCATAGATATGTTGCACTGTCGCTATAAGTTCAACACATGTTCTGCAATAGCACTGCTCTGTGAGTCCCTCTTACTATTATTGTTTTTGTTTCTTTGGGTATCACCTTAAACAACTAGAAATTGATGTGTATAGTATTAGTGCCTAGTATTATAACCCCCACATAAATTCACATGGACTTATTGAGGCTCTGTGTGTCCGTGGCTGGTTAAGTCCAATTGTTCGTGAATTTGGGAACAAGATTTGCTGTATGATTTCTCCCCAGCTGAGTAAGGGATACAAGGACACGGTTCTCCAGGGGACGTACAACGCCACCCTCGACAACCCCCTCACCTCCTCCTCTTCCTCTGACCAACACGGTCCTGAGAGGACGACCAAGAAACAGACTCTAGTTGTTGAGACCTAGCATGCAACATTACCACCTTCATGCCATTATTATTATAATTATTATATCAGCACTGTATCTCACGGGAGTTTAGAGCGACAGGATCACGTGACACTCGCTCCCGAGTGGGGGCCGTTTTGCATTCTGGAGTGAAAATTCGAAACCATACTACATTTTCCATATATATCACAAACATTTGCAACATGGAATTTATAGCACAGGTGGTACTTTTGATACACCCACGCATAGTATATACTATAGAAAATGTCAACAAAACAGAAAAAGTCTTTAGGAAATGAGGTTGATGTAGGTGGGGTCACTGTCCAGAAGACTGAACAATATCTCCATAAGTGTGGGGAAGTTTGGCCGATCTTTTGGATCGTCAGACCAGCACCGCAGCAGCATGCTCCATCTGTGTCAATGCAGAAACATTACCTCCATATACGCCCACATGACTTTATTATGGAAGTCTAATAAACCTCTGAAAACTGATCCTCCAAAGGAAGGACACAGACCGTCCCAACTCTTTTATGAAAAGTATATTTATAGCATACTAGCCACAGAGAGTAGAAAAAAAAAGAAAAAAAGAAAGAAAACCAGAAGTCACCCTCCACCAATACACAGACACAAACAACACAGTTGCACACAACAAGGTAGGACACCAGGTGCCCAGCCTTGAGAACTGGGGCGGTGGGTTAAAGAGCCTTTTATGGCATGCCAACTCTCCCCACACACCTATAGTGTCCAAACCGAATGACAAACAATCACAATGACAGTTACTATACAGAGATACAGAGGCAGTAGAAAAATATGAAATATATTTGTGTATAAAAATAGAAAGAACTGATCTTAATAAAGTAAAACGAAAGAGGCAGTAAAAAACTCTGTATAATAAGTCCGTAGAAAATAGACAAAATAGAAATAATATATAAAATCTGGAAAGAGAGAATAAAACTTACGTGCAGACCAGGCTCATGAGCACCAGAGCGGCTTTGCAATGATTCTATTTAGTGCACAGTTATATGCTCGCGTTGTAAAAAACGTTATGAGCAACTGGCAAAATTATTTTACGTATTGACCGACTAACAGACCACGCTCACTGCTGTAATGTTGTGTGAATACTCAAACTGAATCGTGAACTTTCACTTATGCACGTGTACTGAGCTACACCCCACAAATCTACCTCAACGGCTAAAATCAATTCAGACCAGATCTTCCCTTGTTGCGTAATGGTTGTTAGAAACAAGGGCGGGCTATGGGAATTCTTCACTGTGTAAAATGCTTTATACTGTCTTACATTTCATCAGAACAGACAGCACTGCTTGGTCTCTCCAGTCTGCAGCCAAGTTTTAGTTCCCATGGAACATTCAGTGGATTGAGTCCAGGATAGGGAACAGCACCGCAAGTGAACACCTCCCAGCATGTCACACCAAAAGACCACTGCATATAGAGGACAACAAACAGGTCTATATAGTGAACTGCACAAAATTTGTATGCAACTCTTTATGTAGGTTCATGCTTCCCCAAGAATTGTTAAAGCCCCCGCGCGTGAGGCATAATCGCACAGAAAAAACACATGGATAAAGTTGCTCACCACGTCAGTCTTGTGGGTGTAGATATGATCCTCAATGCTCTCTGGAGCCATCCATTTGACTGGAACTTTCTCCCTCTTCCCAGAGGCAACTCGATAGTAACCCTCTGAACCTCTCTCTACTGGCCATTCCAAAGTCAGACACCTTAATACGTCCACCTGCTCCAATCCTGAGATTGAGGTTCAGTGTAGACTGTGCACAAAAACTCAAATTACACAATTTTACCCGCATTATGTCCCATAATCATCAGCATTCTTATGAGTCAGCATATTAACCCTTGGCGCGTGCACAGCGAGGGTTACAGTAGTCGTTCTGTGTGTGTGTGTGTCGACGCTTATTCTCGGCACTACAGGCTACGAGGCGGCCTATAAGAGATACCAGCGGATTCAGAACTGGGCGAGCCTGAAAATAAATGGGCAATTTACCTGAAACAAACTGCGTTCGAGAGATATGCTGTGAAAACAAGCATAAAAGCAATTATGCATAATCGCACTGGGCTTACTGCGACCTGATCCGCTCGCTCTGTGTACCTTGGGGGCTCAGGAGGTCACAACGAATGGCATGTATCCCGCATGCTATCTACTACCGTAGCTAGCCCATGTCAGACTCTGCTCGGGCTACTGACCACGTAGTAAACGCATACAAATAGCCCAGCCCATCAATTAGCATTATCCTTATCGTGTATGCGCAGTTCGCCGAGGGTTTGCACTTTAGTGCGTTTCGGCAAGGCAGTTAGTTTGGTAGCAAAAGATTTACGTGTCCCAACTATGTATCGTAGAAACAAACAAATTACTGGCATCCCCAAAGTGCAATATGCCACATGCAATGTGTCCCCACCCAACCAAGGCTTGCCTCTGCTGGATTGTCTATGAAGCTCAAGTATTGGCTCAAGTATTGTGGTCTAAGTAACCAGTAACTCACAGGCAGTTTCGTGCTGCAACATCACGATGAATGACACCACTTTGAGCAATGTAGGTCATCCCCTTTGCTATTTGGTGGCACATATCCAGACATGACCTTCTAGCCACTTCCACCTTCATACATTAGAAACATGAAGTTAGGAATATTCATAATTATTTTTTCTACCTGTTCATGTATGGCTTCTTGAGTGTGGTACAAAGAGCCTTTGTTTATCCTCAAGTAATGAAGTAGAGTCCCGTTAATCATAAAAGGTATGATTAGTAGGGGCATCTCTTCATCCAGGGCAACCCCAATGAGTGGCATGACGTTCGGGTGATTCAAATTGAGCATTATTCTTGCTTCCATCACAAGTTGCTTTTTACTTTCAGTTGATGATAGTGCTATTGAATGGTAAATCATGTCACTTAACTTTTTACGTGGAAATATCATATACCTTTAGACATTTTAACAGCAACAAAGTCCCCATAAATGTATCCACAGTAAACTATGCCAGTTTCACCTGCGCATGAAATGTGTAAAATTGTAGTGGTAAGTAGTGACTAAGTCTAGGCAAGAAACATCATATGTGAGGGGGCATGGGAAAAGTGACCTATATGGCTGGAATGTGAAAATTATGTTTTTTAGGGTGAAAAACCAAAAAAACTTAACTTCACATTCCAGCCATATAGGTCCCTTTTCCCACGCCCCCTCACATTATGTTATAAACAAGACCAGTAAGCTTTCACACCCAGTCGTCTGGATGCAGAATTTCCCCATATTATACTGCGTAATACATCAGGTACTAGAAATCCATGAGATTCTAAATATTATGCGTGAAGAGGCGAATAATCAAAACTGTCCCCTTCGCTCCGTAGAAATTCCTTGTAGTAGTTTGTATCACATAAAAAACCACTGCATTTTATCATTTTCTGCATAACCACGAATTTATGCATAATATTAAAGTGTTCTGGCTTGCATGGTAGCACAGCTGCGAATGATGAGCTACAAATGCCAGGGAAAATATTAATGACACCTTGACCAACAAGATCCTGCAGCTGAATGTGATGCTTCGGGATGACCATGCTCCTTTCACTGGCTTGCCACGCAAAGTCATCAAGGAGTTCTTGCAGGTCGTCTTTCAGTGGAAGTTCTGCTGGAGAACAGTATAATTTTCAGTTGCAGAATGCTCAATTTATAAATTAAAGCCCAGTATCAGCTACTGTAAAGCCTGAAATATTGGCAGCCATTATATTTAGCGTTTTACTCAGACTCCACATACTGGCGGTCATTAATATTAGCATTTTGTAAGTTGTGGTTAACTTTGACCTCCTATATAAAAAAAAATTTGGCGGACCATTAATTTTAGCGATTTATTTCTAAATACCAAATTTGCTAAATTTAATGGAGCGCCAATATTCCGGTTGTAAACCACAATTTTCGGAGGTTATTAGGATCTGAAGGCAAAGGAAAACAAAACGACGACATTTTAAGGAAATACTGCTGCCATGTTGGGGCCACTGAGCCAGAAAATTGAAGCGTTTTTGTAGTGTGGGATTCAAACCCACGACACTGCACTGTAAGCAAGTGCTCTACCAGCTGAGCTACCAGCGTAACTCAGTAGTTACGTATTATAATTATCTACAACACAAAACAAAGGGAAACCTAACATGTGTGGGTATATTAATTATACGACATACCTCGAAGAGTACTTTCTTCAAGTGCATGGTAGTGTTCTACAGCATTGGGCTTGGAGGGGATTCTATGAAAGATTTGGAGCTTCAATAAAAAAGCTCAAGATGATTATTATGTTCTAACGTACATGGTAATGTAGTGGCCTAGTTCAGTGGTGATAGGAGCTTCTGCCAAAGCACACGACCTCACATGATGCTCCAACAGTAAAAGCTCCCCCTGCCATCTACAACCCCTTGCCTTGTAGGTACAAAACATCCTCAAACTGTTGATCTGACGTCGAAAGTGTTTGTTTAGCATTGTATCCCAATGAGTTGCATTGCACATTGGGCATGCTTTTGCAACTTTCTTTATCCTCAAAGCAGCCTCCTGGGAGAGGTGATTGCCACAGCACGACGTGAGATGTGGTTGGAGAAGTAGATTAGTTGTTATTGGGCAGAATAGTTCATGGCTTGGCCTGTTCACAAAGAGGCAATCATTTTCCGTGAGATTGAATTCCTCCTCTTCCTCTGAAACATCGTCATCTTCGGAATCACTTTCAGTTGGCCGTGTGCCTATGCACATGGATAGTGCACGTCTGTGTCAAGAGTGATGTAGAAAGGACAAAATCATTACATAATTTCAAAAGACGGTTTTTTTGCTCATACCCAGATATTTCTTCTACGGGAGAGTCCAGTACCATTCCTTTGCCCGCCAATTCCACTTCCTGCTTCATCTGACAGAATGCAACACAAAATGTGTCTATGATAATGAAGGGCTTTGTGCAGGATAACAAACCCACTTCCTGAGTATCACTGTTCTGTCACATATCATGCCTCTATAATATGTATTGCTGTGACCTAAGCTAAAGCAACGCAATGTCTTGATGTCAAGTTGACACAAGGTGCCTGAGTGCATTAGGTTAGTGGCACAACATGTGCAGGACACTGTGTGACGCATGCGTACAAAAAATATCTCATCACAAGTGGCTTACATCTACATAGTTATCATGATAAAATGTTTGGAAAGCTACAACACCACATTGGAACTCTTAATAATGAAAAGCACTAAAGTGCAAACCCTCGGCGAACTGCGCATGCGCGGTGCCACTAATTGATGTGGTGGGCTTTATATGCTTTTACTCGTGGTATCCCACTAGTAGCTTGCGGAGAGTCTGGCACGGGCTAGCTACAGAAGTAGATAGCATGCTGGAGTCTACATGCCCTTCGTTGTGACTTCTTGTGCCTTCAAGATACACTAGCGGACCCGGTCGAGATAAGCCTGTGCTAATTTGCATATTGGCTTGTTCACTTGCTTTTCACTCCATAACCTTTGTAGTTAAACGCAAATCGCCTTTAAGCCAGTGTATATAGCGATGAACCCGTTGGTAATGCTGTTTTGTTGTCTCGTTGCGCGTAGTCGCAAAAACGTGGTAACAGACAGACAGACAGATGGACAGACGGCATACCAACCCAAACCTTTGCTTCAGATTTGCTTTGATTTGGAGTATTTTTGCTTGAAAATGCTGTGTGTCCATTATCACAGGTTAGCACAAAAGAGGGATTTGGAGATTTTCTGGTGAGAGCAGTATTTTCGCTTGATTACCAAGCAAAAAGCTGGATGGTTGGTAGGTATGAGTCGGATAGACGGACAGACGGACAGACACACTTACAAACCAAGTACCGCAACCCTCGCTGCACATGCACGCCAAGGTTAATAAACATTAAAGTAACACACTATTATTATAGCACTACTACATAGTGTGCAAAACATGTCAATGCATAACTTACCTTTGGTTCATCAGTGGCGTACACAAGTTTTCCAGCAACGAGGAGTTCAGCTGTTGCATACTTTTCTAAGACACCTTCGGGAAGGTTTGACATTAACGTGGCAACGATGCAGTCAGGAATGAACCAAGCAATGACAAATGAACCCGGGCGGATCTCGGCTAGCATCATGGCACACTCACGGAGATTGTAGTGACAGGCGTACTCCTGTCTAAACTGCTCCACGACCTCGAGTGTGACGTCTTCTGGCCACTCAAACTTGGCCACCACCTCCACAAACCGTGACGGCGGCTCAACGTATCTCTTTCTCTGGGTCCGACAGAACAACAGGAGCGGTGTCGACTCCCTGAACCTCCGCAGGTCGCTCTTATACCGCTCCATCTCTTCCTTCACCTCTAGCCCAAACTCGCAGACAACGTAGTCGAGAAGCTGGTAAGAGAGGTAGTTCATGTTGAAACTGAGTGCTCCAAAGAGCTCCGATTGATCGTGCGCCTGGTAAAGAACACCGAGGTGACTCTCTAGGAACTGTTTGTGTTCCTCCATGTCGTCGACTGGGAGATCCATAAGAGCATCCGCAACTTGTTTCACGGACACCTTTCTCTTCTCAAGATTAGATCTGCTGGCTCTCTTTATGCTGTTGAACCTTCTTTCAAATGCCTTGATCTTTGCTTGTACATACTGGCTTGTCAGAGGATCTATAATTACACGTATGTAATAATATTATTCCGGGTTGTATTCTCGTGATATGTTTACGTATGTACGTGTTGGTCACTCTTAAGAATGTCAATTAGTTACGCTTATGGAATGTCAGTTAGTTACGCTTAGGAATGTCAATTTCCGCCGTGCACGCAGATTCGTAGGAAGTCTGGCTTCGCGCGCAGTCAGTAGACCGTGCGCAAGAGTGGCCTCAGTCGGACTAGCTGTTTACGCATTGGCTGGCAGGCGGGTGGCAAAATATGTGCGTGCGCATTCCTAGTTATTGATTGAAAACACTTCTACACGTTTAGCTAATAGTTGTCATGCACAGAGCTGCAGCTGAGTTGTAACATGTTTACATTCATGGCATGCAATTATGTGCTATGTAGTAGACTATGACAACAAAGTCCTGGGCATGAAATATCAGGGTTGGTTCAAATTTCATGGATGGTTGAGGAAAAACATAACCGTGCTACCTCAATCATGTTGAGTACAATTAGTGTGTCATGAGTTTGGATAAAATGATTTCTGCATGCTTTTGGAAAAAGTACTGTGACCTTTAGAACGCTGTCATTTGGCACACACCTTTAGCATGGCAGTTTCATTTGTGGTGCATAGCTGTGCAATAAATGAACTTAACGGTAAATTTATCTATATACAATGGGCAATAACTACAAAGTGTCCCTTGTTCCACTGTATATACCTGGAATGGGAGATTCTGGCCGAGAGGAGGCTAGCTGCATCGTCGCAACTTTCAAAGAAGAGTCATTCCCTACGAAATGAACCTGAGTAGCTATTATTCCACACTGTGACATGTAGAGTATTATACCTGTTGAAGAAGCCATAGTAGGACCCCTCATTCCGGCCTCATAGACAGTAGTTTCTGTGGATTCCATTTTAGAGTGTATATAGTTGGTGGAATCACATAACAAAAAATGTACCAGCGTACCAGTGGTTGTGGTAGGGGCATTACGTGTGGTAGCAGTGGAGTCAGAGATGTGTGTCGCCTCCAATTTATTGGCCAGTTGAAACAGACTGACTGCTGGACTTCTGAGAGCTTGCACGACGGTGCCCCACGTCGGCTGCGCCCCCTCCTGGTTCAAGAACGCTATCAAGATGTGGAGCAGGCGATCGCGGGGATGAAGGTGCGCCGCGAAAATACCGTCGACAACGTGAACAGGCAGCCCCAGTCTAAGTCCAAGGAGGTATGAATGTGTGTGTGCTGGCAATAACTCTTCCAGTAGACTTATGGCATCGTCTGTGGTCAACGTTTCAACGGATGTCGGTGCTGTGAGAGAAGACCATTGGTAAAAGATGATACTGAGCAAGCCGTTCTAGTGAAAAGTATTTACTTACCAGTAGCCATGACAGCTCAGCGCCAAGGGTCCCCGCCGGCAACGCGCGACGTATGCGGTCGGTAGTGCTTTCTCCGATCCCCTAAGGCAAATTACTTCGCTTTGCGCATGCGCAAATATTGATCACGTGACTTTAGAAGGTGGGGCTGATGGGGGCTTTTTGCTCATCATCCGATCTTCGTCATGAAGACCTCCATCGTTATCTTGGTAGCTTTGGCGTTCCAGTTGCTCAGTCTTGAAGTTGCGACAGGGATCACAGTAGTCTCTATTGACAGCTACGGAGCCATCGCCAACGACTCGTCCGTCGGCGCTGCCGTCAGCAACAGCCACGCAATCGCTGAGGCCCTGCAGAAAGCTGCTCCCGGTGAAGCCGTCCTCGTACCGCGCTACTCACACTACTACACCTTTTCCTCAGTTGTAAGCGACATTGCCGACGGGATCCAGCTCTGGATAGAGGGCGAGTTGATCGCTGTGTCCAACATCACCGCCTGGCCGTACGACGGAAACGACTACCTCAACATTCTGCAGATCGAGAACTGCAAGGACTTTGTCTTGACCGGACATTACTTGGGTGCCATTAGAGGACAGGGCTACAAATGGTGGGTAAACACGGTGTTTAATTTCATCGATAAGACTCGCCCGAATATGGTGGAAATGACAAACTGTACAAACGTTGTGGTGGAAAGCCTGAGAGTCTACAACTCTCCACGCTACCACTTCCACCTGTCAAATATGACCGACCTCATTGTTCGCGACATTTATATTTGGGTGGATGTCACAGCTCAGCGAGATCTACTCGAAAAGGCAAAGGTCAAGAGATCTACATCTGGTAGTGGGGCTTGGAATCTTCCCATGTTCCCACTCAACACAGACGGGATTGATCCATCAGGCAGGAACATCCTCATCAAGAATATCACCTGTCAGAATTTCGATGATGTCGTCGCTGTGAAACCCGGAAAGCTTTTGACTGACGGGTGCACACAAAACGTGACTGTTGACGGCGCTAAAGTCATCTTTGGTGTTGGAATGAGCATCGGCTCGGTTCCACCTGACTCTGACATAAACTGCATTCGAGACGTCTGGATCAGAAACGTGGAATTCACTAACCCTCTAAAGGCCATCTATGTAAAGACCAACTCTGGTAAGGACGGATTTGGGATCATCGACAATATAAACTATCAGAACATCAGCATCCACGATCCTATTCTCTGGCCCATATACATTGGTCCACAGCAGCAGAAAGAGCCGGACGGAGGAGGAGATGGGATATGGCCGCCTCCGCAACCCCTGGTGAACGTAACCAACATCCTACTCCAGAATGTGACATCGGATAACGGGTGGCTCAATGCAGGTGTACTGCGCTGTGCAGAGTCGAATCCCTGCCGCGGGATAACCCTCGACAATGTGCATGTGTCAGGCTGGGCTTCAGACTTCTACGTCTGTGAGAACACCCAGGGAACCGTCACCAACTCCACCCCTGTTCCATCCTGCATGGTGAATAACACCATGCAACAAGGAATGACTACATCCCAAAACATCTTATAGTTTCAAAATATACTTTCTATAAGCATAGTGCACAAGTGTATTATAGGTGATACACAAAAGTATAGAGCTATATTATTTGTCGAAACTGTTTTGTTTTGTGTTTTCAAACGTGAGGTAGTTTACTAAAGGCCCAGCTATGTATACAAAATAGCTACATGACGTCGTCCACAAACTCTACTATGCTGTGTAGGTAATTGAGTACTTTGAAAGATCCACAGGTGGGTTAAACGTCACCCTACACTTTTCAGCTACCACACCATCCATCATAAACCGATCGGGAGTTGCATGAACACAATGGTCGAAACTAACATTCGTGATGTCGGCATCGGTAAAATCTATGATCGCATCAAATCGACACCTTTTGAACTTTGCGCCGACTAGGATACTGCCTTCGAAAGAGACACTGTGCTTGAAGTGGACACATTCAAACTCGATTCCAGCCATGTTCATATTCTTGAACAGATTCTGCTGCGTTGTTTCATGAGGTTGGTTTTGAAGACTGAGATTAATTGGAAGCTTGAAATATTTCTTTCCCACAAGATTTGCAAAGGTTGTAGGTGTCTTATGGACGAGTCGAACTCTGTGGCGCTCCAGCAGCTTCATAAATCCGTTTAGTCGGTAATATCTGGCTTCGCATATCATTTCTTCCAGGTCTACAGTATCTTTGCCGCGAAGCGCCGTTAAACGGAACACTTCCTCTCCCTGTCGCATGTAGTTCAGGAAGAAGCGAAAGTGTTTGCTGTCGCGGTCGATGAAGACGCAGGTTTCGTTACGATCTTTCCGTCGATCGCCGATTTTCTTCATGAGGTCAGGAAAGATAGAATCGCGCTGGCCTTGTAGGGTGCGAATGTCTGTCCAGAACTTTTCGCCACCCACATTCAGCGTTATTATGTGCGTTTCCTTTTCGGCTACAGGTAACAGACTAGCTCTAGTCTTAGTTTCTTCAAACGCTTTTCGCTCCTTCTTCAGTCCGTCCTTGGCTGCAGCGACGCGTTCATCGTGTATTTCCACAGCGCGCTTCAACTCCTGCTCCTTTCTCGCCTTTTCAATGTCGAATCCATCCCTTTCCTCCTTTAGCTGTTCTTCCTTTGCCCTGATGTAGGTTTGGGTCTCGGACAGTTGAAGAAGACACTGCTCAATTTCATTTCCCGGGGCAGAGTTTCGGCTACTATCCAGGTAGCTAATCATCTCTAAGCTATTGACGGTATGCTAACACCTTTTAGTGATACTTGTTTGCAGCTTTATAGCTGGGAAATTGAACTTAGGGTATAGAATTTATCTAAGACTACTTACGTAGCTATGAAGGGAGTGGCGACCAATCATGTGATCATCCGTGAATGCGCCTACAGACTACAGAGTCTCTTCACTAATGTTATTCACTACTACTAAAAGTTCAATGGGAAATGCTCTCCTATAACTGACATTGTACCATTGTACCATTGTCCAACTACCGCAGAGATGTAGCTAACTACTGCAAGCACAATGTGCAAACCCTTGGCGAACAGCGCACGCGCAGTAGCACTAATTGATGGGCTTGGCTTTTAGTATGCGTTTACTCTTGGTCTCCACGCTATTAGCTCGCGGAGAGTCTGGCTGCAGTAGTAGATAGCATGCAGTTCCCTTTCATCCGCTGTTTCGGCGGCGAGGCCTTCCCTTGCCCGTTCGCTATACCGCAAACGGCGTTGAGAAAGCCGAGCCTCTCTCTGCTCAGGAGTCTCACGAGCACGACGTTCTCTTTCCCTCTCTCTTCGGCGACAAAGGGCATCCTCTGTCGACTGACGACCCATGACAGTCAGACTAGCACACGTGCCTGTAACGAAGCCGCGCATGCCCACTTACACGACGTACCGACCCTCGACAATGTGCATGTGTCGGGCTGGGCTTCTCAGACTTCTATATACGTCTGTGAGAACACCCAGGGAACCGTCACCAACTCCACCCCAGTTCCTCCCTGCATGGTGAATAACGCCTTGCAACAAGGAATGACTACATGCCAAAACATCTTAAATTTATAACCATAGTGCAAACGTATTATAGGTGATACACAATGTATACTTATGTTGATGGCTGTCGAAACAGGTTTTTTTTTGTTTTCAAAAGTGAGGGGTGGGTTTTAAGGCGCTAGCTATGTATATACAGTTAGATAAAAATAGCTACATGACGTTGTCCACAAACTCTATATACTATGCTGTGTAGGTAATTGAGTACTTTGAAAGATCCAGAGGTGGGTTAAAGGTCACCCTACACTTTTCAGCCACCACACCATCCATCATAAACCGATCGGGAGTTGCATGAACACAATGGTCGAAACTAACATTCGTGATGTCGGCATCGGTAAAATCTACGATCGCATGAAATCGACACCTTTTGAACTTTGCGCCGACTAGGATACTGCCTTCGAAAGAGACACTGTGCTTGAAGTGGACACATTCAAACTCGATTCCAGCCATGTTCATATTCTTAAACAGATTCTGCTGCGTTGTTTCATGAGGTTGGTTTTGAAGACTGAGATTAATTGGAAGCTTGAAATATTTCTTTCCCACAAGATTTGCAAAGGTTGTAGGTGTCTTATGGACGAGTCGAACTCTGTGGCGCTCCAGCAGCTTCATAAATCCGTTTAGTCGGTAATATCTGGCTTCGCATATCATTTCTTCCAGGTCTACAGTATCTTTGCCGCGAAGCGCCGTTAAACGGAACACTTCCTCTCCCTGTCGCATGTAGTTCAGGAAGAAGCGAAAGTGTTTGCTGTCGCGGTCGATGAAGACGCAGGTTTCGTTACGATCTTTCCGTCGATCGCCGATTTTCTTCATGAGGTCAGGAAAGATAGAATCGCGCTGGCCTTGTAGGGTGCGAATGTCTGTCCAGAACTTTTCGCCACCCACATTCAGCGTTATTATGTGCGTTTTCTTTTCGGCTACAGGTAACGGACTAGCTCCAGTCTTAGTTTCTTCAAACGCTTTTCGCTCCTCCTTCAGTCCGTCCTTGGCTGCAGTGACGCGCTCCTCGTGTATTTCCACAGCGCGCCTCAACTCCTGCTCATTTCTCGCCTTTTCAATCTCGAACCTATCCCTTTCCTCCGTTAGCCGTTTTTCCTTGTCCCTGATGTAGGTTTGGGTCTCGGAGAGTTGAAGAACACACTTCTCAATATCATTTTTAGGGGCAGAGTTTCGTCTACTATCCATGTAGCTGGTCATTATTGCCGTATGCCAAGAGCTAACACCTAGTGATACTTGCTTGTAGCTTTATAGCTGCGATATTGAACGTAGGCTGTATTTTAGAGTAGAATATATTCACTATCTACAAGTGAGCTTGCTATGTACACATGAAAGGCTGGCTAGATGCGTTGTGTGACGACCGATCATGTGATAGTGAATACGTCCCTATACTAATGTTTAACTTATTCACGTCCACAAATTCAACGAAATGCTGGGCCTAGCTACTACCGTCTAACTACTGCAGGGGTGTAGCAAAGAGTGCAAACACTATAGCAAAAGCTCCAGTCATGCCACCATTGCAAACCTATAGTTAGCTAGAGTTATGAGTAAGCACTGGCACAGTTATAAAGAGCCCTAGCCCTAGGGTTTCTTCTACGGGGGCAAGAGGGGAAAGTTCTCCAAACACATAGATGACCTAATGACACTTAGCTACGTCTGACTTTGTCCTACACAGCAGCACAACCTTCAGTTACGAAGAAAGCCTTTCCTCTCCACTGGATGAGGCAGCACAACGTTTCTAAGATGGTATTCGTGACTATAGTCTAGACCTCACTGATATTCATCCTCAAGATTGATAATTCAGAGGAAATACACTCTGCACCTGCATGCTGTAGCTAGCTAATTGTAGCCATGTTTCCTCGTAGCATACATGGGCAGTGGAAAGTAGCTTATTCAGTAGGTACCAATGCATCCTGCATCCACGCATTTGTTGTGCAGAACGCCATTAGGATATGTACCTATAATAAACTAACTACTAACTAGCAATGCGCACGCGCCTCGCGCCTGGCGTGAACACACCGACTGAGGCGCCGCTCGTGCGCGCGCTCTACTGACTGCGAAGCCACGAAGCCACGAAGCTACACTTCCTACGAATGACGGAAGTTACATTCCTAAGCGTAACTAATATACATTCTTAAAAGCGTGACGACACGCGTACGGACGTACGCAAATACAACCCGGAGTAGTTGCGCTCGGCAATAATAGTAAATGACCTGATCTCCTGTATTTCTGCTGTGAAAAGCGATCCATTATTAGCGTGAACTGCTTAGCAACTATATATAGCTAGCAGTGTTGCAACCTACTCTGAGCTTGCGAACGTGGTGTAAATCGCATGCTACTCAACGAGACAGGTTTGACCTTGTGGGTGGGGCCGGAGAGCAGATCGCGCGCGCATGCGCATGCCCAGCATTCAGAATTCGTCCCAGATGTTGACGCGAATGGCCGCGTGCCGTGTGGATATCGAGCCGGAGGAGGACCAGTCGGACTATTACGACATACTCCTCCTGGGTCGTACTGGACAGGGCAAGAGCACGACAGCCAACAAACTGCTCCAGATGGATATAACCTTTTCAGAGCCCAACCCTTACACCCAATAGTGGGTGGAAGAGCTCTCGGAAGACGGGCAGGAGAATGGAGCTGAAGAAGCGGCAGGTGGCGGGGGAGAGGAATCCAGAGTGATCTTCAAGACTGGGAAGGGCATCGAATCCGTTACTAGCAAGTGTCAGCTTGTCTCGAATGTTGTCACGAACATCCGCGTGCTTGACACTCCGGGATTTGCCGACTCTCGGGACACCAAGAAGCACGGCGTCTACAGGGGAAACTTACGTATCTTTAGGTCTATCCTTCGCGCTCAGGACGAGAACGACCTAGCCTTCAGTCGCGTTCTCTACTTTCTTCCGCAACGTGGCACCCCCGAGCGAATGGACGGCACGTTCCAGGAAGAGATAAAAGTGATGCACGGCTTTCTGGGGGCCGAAGTCTTCAAAATAATGGTCATTATCGCCACAAACCGCTACAGGAGGGGCAAACGCGAGATTGAAATTGATGAAGATGATCTTGACGACATTAGAAAAGTGTTTATGGGGGCACTCGAAAAGATTACGGGCACAGCCGATACTGTGGAGAAAATTATCGATCAGTGTCCACCCATCTTACCTCCCATACCTCGAAAGTGATGTAGTCCCTCGAATAGTATCGTCGAAGTTCTTTATGAAGGACCGTTGTGTAAACCGCCGGTGGTAGACGTTTCTCCTGGCTCGAGGCCTGTAGAGGAACTCATTCGAGAAGCAAAGCAGAGAAACATGGGTAGAAAGCTTCAGTTTCACGACAGGTGCGTCAAGTGTTCTGCAAAGATCATCTACTCAGAGTCCCCGGACGGAAGAACCCCAAATAGGGTCATCATCAACGAAAGCGGCGAAGACGAAAAAATCCTCGGCTACAACGACAGCAAATGTCATCCCCTCCTTATACCGCGCCACTCAACCGCTAAAAAGATTGTCGGTGGAATATTGCACATTGCCACACTTGGTGTGTTTGTAGCGGCAGGGAAGATGCGTGGAAGGAGGTTTTGGCCTGGGTTTACCAACGAGGACGAAGTGTGTGCCAACTGCAAGAAAGAGCCAAGCGCCGAGCCTTGCCTTGAGGTCGACAAGATGTTTGAACTGAAAATAAGTGAGAGTGAAACTTTGAGTATCAAGACAAATCACTCAACCACACTGAACAAGCTACGTGTGGAAGAACAATGAATTAGTTTTTAGTGCATTACTGTCGCTTATGAAAATATTTTGCACATCTGGACCTAAAACACTGTTTACTTTGCTGTGAATTTATTATTGTTGTGCTATCACAGTGTCTGTGGAAACATATATATACTATGGTTCAGAAAGCATTGTTATCACTAGTTATGTGTTATGTATGCCTAACACCTCTTCTTGCCCTTCCGTTTACCTTCATTGTATTGATCATGATCTTTTTCTGGCAACCCTAACTAATAATAACTATACAAGTGGAAAAATCATTTCTTCAAAATGAAAGGGGGATATAGGGATGGCTTGAAGCACCAAAAAGGAAGAAACAAGGGGTCATTACACAGCAAAGATGCACAAAGCTACATGACACCATCCCTATATATTTGTCTCATATTAAACTTTATACTTGTGAACTATATAATTATATATAACACAAAGATATAGGGATGGTGTCATGTAGCTTTGTGCATCTTTGGCGTGTAATGACCCCTTGTTTCTTCCTTTTTGGTGCTTCAAGCCATCCCTATATCCCCTTTCATTTTGAAGAAATGATTTTTCCACTTGTTTCCACTATTTTTTATGCCTTATTACACTGCATTTTCAGTCACTCTGATGTTCATGGGTGTTGAAAGCAGAAGCTAATGGGCTGCTCCTACCCGAAGCAGGGTGTATGCGTAGTGTCTCCAACAACGATGCAATTTGGTTGTGGCACATAATTATGGTGGGGTGGTTTTATAGGCAGGCTTCAGTAATCAGACTGCAACGATAGCTATAACCTGGGGGACAAACAATGAAGGTGCCTGGCAAGGCACGCGTAATACGGAGCAGATTGCCAAGTTACTCCTCGTGCAAATCAACAGCAAAACGCAAGCTAGGCGGTTAAGAATGTGTATACTGACTTACAGAGGGCACTGGAGGATAAGATTCCTCTGCAGGCATCCTGGCTTAGTCTCGTCACGCACGAGACGCGCGCGCACCGCATTGGGGAAACGCCCTCCTCTGCGCATGCGGCTCACTGATGCTGAGTTAGCAGCAAATGGCGTTGTCCAGTGACTACAGTGGAAGAGCTCAACGATCTACCGTAGTGACTTGCGGCAAGAAACAAGCGATCGCTTGATATGCGTGCACACCGTTCTGTGAAAAAATCAACGCTTGCCCTGCTTCCGGTAAGGAGCTAGCGGGTCTGAAGAAGAAGAAGAAGAAGAAGAAGAAGATGATGAAGAATATGATGATGACACGAAAATCGCGAAATCGCGTAAGTGCGAATTCTCTCGTGGGGAACTGAGGGCACGTAGGAAGTCTTAGGGCATATGTATAGCTAGGTATTTGCCTCTAGACTATTGTTAGTGATTTAAAGCCATGGTGAGTCATTCTCGCTGAGTTTTGAGGCGTTTTGTACGCGGATCACGTGAGATTTCACTCGTGTCATATCCCTATATAGAGCGTCTACCGACGCTCTGATAGGTGATTGCTTTTTTCATATCATCATATTCATCAAATATCAAGAGGTATGTACGGTCACCAAGTGATCATTTCTATTTTCGCGCACGATACCAAAATGGTAAGACAAATCTTACTACGTGGTAACTGGCTTCACATGGGCAAGGGCAGGGTCACGTCATGGTAACTTTGCTAAAACTGTCGTATAGCCCTCCTTGGTTACTTTCCCACAAATCCAGTGTCCAAACCTCACGACAAACAACCACAGTGACAGTTGATACAGAGGCAGTAGGTTACAAGAAAATCTGAATAAAATTTAAAAAGCAGTAAAAAAAATCTGTAAATTAATCAGTCAGCAGAAAAATAGACATTTATTGCAAAATATAAAATGGAAAGAAAGAAGAAAGAACGACTCACGCGCAGGGCTCCAGTATAGAGCGGCTGTGCTGTTTAGTGCACAGTTGTATGTACGCGGGGTAAAAATTCTTGCGTGCGACATACGTACTGACGGATCAATTGCTGGTGGTAAACATAATTACACCTGTTTGCGTTGTAAAACCCGTGTATGTGTCAACAACTTGGTAACGAGGTAGAAAGGCAAGGCAAAGCAAACAAGCCAACTACACCCAGGACAGCTCTTTCTTTTCAAAGGAAAGAAGACTAAGAGTTGCCCCTGGGTGGGATTCGAACCCACAACACTCCGTAGTCTAGGCGAGCGCTCACCAACTGAGCAACTCAGCTGGTAGGGGTTCGAATGTACAACACAACACAAGGCGAACCTCAAACCACTGTGTTATGGCACAGTCAACTCTCACTCAGTATGTCCATACGCCCGTAAGGCATTTGTCCGTTCCCAGACCCCATCGACCAGCGCGAATCAGCTCGGCGCAAAGTGGGCGGGTTACTAAAGTACTTCCGGTGGGTGAGGCCCTAAAACCGACTCATTTGCCCTTCCAGCCGTCTGCTGTCAGTGTGTGCTCGTAGATGGCATGACTAGCTAACTGATGGATACAACTTTGACAGCCAACGATTATAATGCTCTATATGAAGATCTATTCGAAGTGTGTGACAAGCCCAAGGCTTTAGGAATCTTGTTGAATTTGCCAGAAAGTACACTTGATGAAATTTTGACCAAGAACAGTCAAGCAGACAATTGTTTGATTGATATACTTGTTACATTCGTGGAACAAGAAGATCAAAGACCAACCTGGAGAATTGTTTTGGATGCCCTCAGAGATCCACTCATCAATAACCCTCGCTTAGCCGAAAGGATCGAAAAACGTCTCAGTGGAGTATCTCCTATACAGCAGGGTAAGTGATGACACAAACTTTATTTCGTGAAGAAGTTGGGTTGCATTTTCGACAAATGTTGCAGCTAGGTGTTTTAATTGATTAGCTAGCACATGATAACCCTCGAGCAATAATTTCGGGGGAGCTGGTAGTTGTTTAATTAGCTTCTGTCATGTCCTATATACACCTGTCCTACTCCATCTGCCCTTTGTAGGTTTAAGGAATGCTTCAGATGCTGTGTTGCAGCCATATAATGCAGAAGAAGTACATCGCCGACTATGTGATATGAAGTCAAAATTTAAGGTTTTTGGTCGCCTTTTGAAAGTGCCGCGGGACCATATAAAAAGTATACATCAAAAGCACCTTGAACCAGAAGCCTGTTTGTTACACACCATTAAAGCCTTTTTGCAGCAAAAGGAACCAAGACCTACCTGGAGAGTAATTTTAGTGGCTCTCAGGAGCCCACTTATCGGTAATTCCAGGTTGGCTGGGCGGATTGAGAGAATATATGGGTTTTCACCTTCAACACAATTAGGTATGTCTGTATAAATCATACGTGACGGTATTATAATTATTATATCTTTAGAAATAGCAATCTGTCCTCTGGTGATGTCAAAGTATATAGCAATTAAATTTGGCGATTTTAGTGCATTCAAGAGTTTAACAAAGTGAAGAAACAAAATTATGGTTGGCTTACCTCGACCATTGGCTTTACCATACCATATTCCACCTGTTTGCGAACCGTGAAGCATCAAAAGTTACAACAGAGGGCGAATGTCGGATCTCGCGATATACTATATACTAGGCCTAGCTATAGCCTGTGTTAGACTGAAGCGAGAGAGATTACATAGATCATCGTGAATCCAATTTCAGGAGTGCTAGCATTGGACCTCTGCTGTTCATGGCCTAGTTTTGTAGGGCTAGAGATGCCTTTAAATATTACAGAGTTGTAAAGAATATCTTATAATATATAGTTAGCTGTTTTACAACATTCGGCTGTGAGTGCCACTAATTTTACTCTTCGCTGAAACTCGCTAGGAACATGGGGTAAGGGTGGGATTCCACCCGCTTTTCAGGGAAACATCTAAAGCTATATAATTCCCTAATCCTGGCTTGGCTTTGATTTGGCGACATTTTTGTATCTGCCACACATTCTCTACAGGAGAGATTGCTAGCTCAGAAAAATTGCATTGTGTGATCTACGACGTGTGTCCAACCTTCTTCAGAGGAGGTTTGAACTGATCATTTGAATCACGCAAGAATTTAAATTAGGAGGTGCAGAATTGCAGGGCGAGTGCCTCCAGGTGCGCTGACCCCTAAAGTTTATCGCCAAGTTGTGGTAGCTTGAAATTCGGAGAATGCACTCTCAATCTTCTATATAGAGAGGATTTAAAACAAATACTCTGATAATATTAAAAGCACTAAGGCGCAAACCCTCGGTGCACTGTGCATATGCAGTACTGCTAATTGATGGGTTGGGTCAAGAGTAAGCGTTTACTCGTGGTCTCCACGCTAGTAGTTCGTGGAGAGTCTGACACGGGCTAGCTACTCTAGTAGATAGCATGCATCAGTTGATACATGCCCTTACTTGTGACTTCTTGAGCGAGCGGATCAGGTCATGGTAAGCGCAGTGCTATTTGTATATTGGCTTTTTCGCTTGTTTTCACGGCATATCTCTCGAACACGGTCGTTTCAGGAAAATTGCGTCTTTCTTTTTCAGGCTCGCGTAGTTCTGAAGTCGCTGGTATCGCTAATAGGCCACCTTGTGGCCTGTAGTGCCAGAATAAGTGTCGACAGACAGGCAAACCTACTACAGTAACCCTCGCTGCGTATGCACGCCGAGGGGTAATTATGCTTAGCTCAGTTATAACAAGGGGCACAGATTGTTGATTTGTTGCGTAATAATTATTATAATCACTTCCAACCTCCTCTGCTCCTCCAGCAAAAGACCACAATAGTGTAGCCCAGCCTGTCAATTAGCGGTTCTGACATCATTGCACAGTTGTCTTGCAATTTTTGCGTTTCTACCTTATTATTGACATAATTATGTGCAATGCTTGTACGCATGTGTTTCAAGTATACAAGTAAATTAAAATCCTGTGAATTTTAAAAAAGAGGCATATAGGGACGGTATAAAAAGAAAGGGAGACAAGATAGGGATGGGATACATGAAGCATGGTTAATGAACAGATTTGAGCACGCAGACACCCCCAACCCCATCACACAATCCCTATATTGTTGCCTGGTGTGTTACTCTTATAGGAAATGTGGCATTTTATAAGGGCTAAACGTCACTAAAAGCAAGCATTCATTTACCGTGGTCTTTTTGTTTTTAGTAACATTTCTACCTTTATGCTGCCACATTCCCTTTATTTAAACTCCATTTGGACTCTATAACGGTGTTGGTTACTCAGTAGCATAATATAATAGGCATACATACGTACCGAGTTTCATCTCTATGCGTGCTACCATTGGAACGTTTGGGAAGAAGTAAATTTAAAGAAAAGTGCCTCAGGCTGTTTGTTTTTATTTACAAACATTTGTAGTCCAACTTCAACCAACCCGGTGCTAGGAATATACGCTGTATTCTGAGCTGTGGGCTGCGGGCTGCACCGGTATCAGTATTGGACAGGAAGTCCTTATCACAACATCTAGCGCTAGGCATAGTGCAAATTGTCTGGCTTCCAAAGTTTACACAACAGTCCATTAGTACATTAATGTAGATGATGCAGCAGAAATTCAGCATTGTGATTGGCTAGTTGGACTACAAATCAGTTAACGTCAGGCGTCTTGGCGCGTATATATAGGAAATCGGTATAGTCAACAGCCTCGGAGTATCTCCTGTACCGCCTCGCCGCCTATATTATGTTAACTAATGCGTATTGTTGTGATTATGATGTTGGCTATTGAATACATTGTGTATACAAACTTTCGTTTACATAGCTCTTACCAATTGTTAGTTACACTGACGCATGTAGTATGCCAATTATAATGTATTGCCTGGGGCAATTTTGTTGTTGTTTACAGTAAACAACATTGTTTACAAACCAATAGGTGCCCACAGTTTCTTCGCATTACAGATATCTATGTTTGTACAAAATTTTAAGAAGAAGAAGAAGATGATGTATATTATATAGGGATGGGCATGGTACCAGATGTTTGTTTATGTTCAATGATACACTGGGGGTTTGTACTTTAGTGCTTTTCATTGTTCCAGTATAGAAGCTAGTGCATCTTCAAATGAAGTCTGATTACCAGTAAATTTGACTGGATGTACAGCCGTCTTCATGCTTCTTGCACATTCAAAGTGTAAAGCGGTGTGCGCATGCGCGTATTTTCTGGGCTTACAGCGAGCTCTAAGCTATTCACTGTTCAACTCAAACAGGCTCGCTCTTCTGGTGCTGTAAACAACACTCTCCATAAGATTAGGTGACCTTTACACCCAGACAAATGTATGTTGTCCAACGGCTTGCGGATCTAGCCTACCAAGCATAGGCTACTGTACTCTCAGTTGGCAAAAGAGCCACCCTGAAAACCAGACAAAAAATCTCAAAATGCGCATGTACACACCACTTTGTGCTTTGAAAGTTCAAGAAGCATGAAAACCGCTGTAGCCAACAGTAAGACAGTAATTAACCCTCAGTGCACATATGTGCAGCGAGAGTTACGGTACTTCGTAAGTGTGTGTCTGTCCGACTGACTCATCTTACAAAATGAAAAGCACTGAAGTGCAAACCCTCGGCGCATTGTGACGCGCACGCGTGAGTAAACGCATGCGCTGTATCACTAATTGATGGGCCGGGTTTAGTTCTGGCTGTTGCTCCTGGTCTCTAGCCATCTCGCGCAGAGTCTGACACGGGCTAACTACACTACTAGACAGCATGCGAGAGGCAATACACGCCCTGCGTTGCATCTTCTGGTGCCTCCGAGGTCGCAGAGCACGCTGATCGATCAGACCCATCCCGTCCGTTGCGTATTTGCATATTGGCTTTTTCGTGCTCTAGCTTTGCAACGGAGCATTTTCAGAGAAAACCGTCTTTATTTTCTGACCTTCGTCGCCCGTTGGGTAGAGGGTATCGTTTCTGGGACGAACAGACGTTCGAGGAGTGAGATGTAGACTAACAGATAAACAGACAAACAGACGGACAGACAGACCCAACTACTGTACCCTCGCTGCGCATGCGCGCCGAGGGTAACTACCAGTTACACAACACCTTTCTGTTTTCCCTCTAAATCTGCTACAGCAACCACTAGACAACTCATAGACTTTGTGTTAGTGCCACTGTGCTTATAATTCTTGTAGGTTGGGTTAAAAGTAAGTCTTTGGATGACCGATTGGATGAAAGTGATGCTGGAGAAGTAGTTTCTGAACTATTAACAGTAAAACCCAAATGTAATACCTTAGGTCTCCTTTTGAAACTTGACAGTGTAGAGATGGAGGCTATTAGTATGGAGTGCGCCGATCCACAAGACCAACTTTTTCGTATTATTGATCTATTTTTGATGAATAAGGATTTCACACCAACAAGGAGAACAATATTAGAGGCTCTCAGGAATCCACTTATGGATAATGCTGCTTTAGCTGATCGTATTGAAAAGAACTTCACTGATTCAGGTATAAGAGTTGTGTTTTACTCTTTCACCATGATTATTGTAATCCTGCAGTTGATGTTCCTGCTATAAACAAGAGCACATCCTGGCTGATGACTCGTGAGTTTTAACTATAATCCTATTAGCTTATCATGCTACCCTTATTTACAGGAGGTTTGGATGCAGAATTTGAACTAACTGATGCTATAGTAATACTTCAGGAGATAATTGAAGTAAAAGCAAAATATTTGATCTTTGGCCGCCTTTTAAACGTACACGATGGTGCAGTTTATCATCAACACCGTGACCCTCAAGACTGCCTACTGCAAATTATTGTAGAATTTCTTAGAAACATAGATCCTTGTCCAACGTGGAGGGTCATTATTAATTCTTTGAGACATCCACTTCTCAACTATAGTGACTTGGCCCAAAAGATCGAGAGAAAATATGCTGGTAAACTGTGAATAAACACTGTGCTATGATGTTGAGTATGCATCTTTATTAAATAGTCCCACAAGAAGAAAAAGAGTTACCATTAGATGAGGTTGAAGCTCTTAGTGAAGGACTGATGCGAACACAGAAACAGTTCTCAGGTAAAACCTAAACTCAGGCTGCCACAAAGTAAGAACCTGTTCCTCCTATATTGTTAGTTTTTATGCCCAGCCTCTTCTTTCTAGAGGGGGGAGGGAGAGAAATTATTGTCCAGTAACTTTTGAGGTTCTTGATCGCACTTTTTGTAATACCTACAGGAGCATTGGATACTACATTTGAACCAAAAGATTCCTTGTTAATACTTCATGAAATAATCGAAGTAAAAGCCAGATCTGAAATCTTTGGTCGTCTTTTGCAACTAGGCCGACTCAGAGTCAATATAATTCATAGAGACTTTAGCGACCCACAAGATCGGCTCCTGCAAGTAATTGATGAATTTATAAAAAATACGCCTCAACCAACATGGAGGGTTATTATGAATGCTCTAAGGCATCCACTTCTCAACCATGACGAATTAGCCCGGGAGATTGAAAGGAAATATGCTGGTAAACAGAGTAAAACCATGTTTATAGTGTACATCCTCAAGATATTAATTCCACCAGGAGAAGAGATATCTGCTCTTGACGAAAGGTCACAAAAGTCCGGTAATATATTGCTAAATTTTATGTTGTAATTTGTAATGGTTATCTTATATTAACATTCTTACCATATTCCCAGGCTCTTCCGGAAAAACACCGAGTAAGTTGTGCATTACATTTCTTACACAATTCTCTGAGGATAAATGTTTCAACACTTACATGTTTACATCCCTCATAATGTAGGTAGTTTGGATTCCATAATGGATCCAGATGACGCAACGGAAATACTTCAGGAGATAGTTGAAGTAAAGGATAAATCCGAAACCTTCGGTCACCTTCTGAGAGTACCTCGTGTCTTGCTTTATTCCTTTCGACAAGAATACAATGACCCTCAAGACCACCTTTTACATGTTATTGATGAGTTTTTGAAAGGTGTAAACCCTAGACCAACCTGGAGGGTCATAATAGATGCTCTCAGACATCCTCTCCTGAAGTATTATGAATTGGCACAAGAAATTGAAAACAAGCACTCAGGTAATAACTTTAATCCTTGCATTGTTATTAGTTGAATATAGCTATGCTACCACCAGATCATATGGTCGAGAAACCAGCATCACCTAAGGCTCTAAAAGTACCTGACTTTACCTTGACACCTTATGTTTTACCTGAGACTACAGGTATGTCGCCATCTGCTCCACTTTTGACTGACTGGTGTATACATGGCTCTATATCTTATCAGAAACAGAGTCAGAAGCAAACACCACTGCTGGTGATGATTCAAAGCGATCCTGTCAACTAGGCTCTGACACTGGTATGATATTGGTGTTGCATCATTTTTATTCCATGTAATTCAATCTTCCCACTCAGATTTGCATCAAGAGATAAAGGGATTTCGTCTAAGATTCACATCTATTAAAGAGTCAACAATTCAGTGTCTTGAAAAGTGTGGCTTTGCTATAGTCGCACTAGTGTCTTTAGTACTATCAGTGTGTACAGTGGAGCAAAAGAAAAAGCTGGAAGAGAATCGAAAAAGTCTTAACAAATCTGAAGACCACACAAAACTCTTTAAGCAGCTCGATTATTACTGGGACTACCTCTCCTGTGATCTACTGGCACTAGTTATCAGGAAACTTTCTCACCATAATTCCTCCTTTGTATCGATTGATGATAATATAACTGTGTATAAAAAGGATCTGCTGGAGTTTAGACGGAACACAACACTAGTTTTCTTCTGTCAAGCAGTGCGGGTTGAAGACCATGATATTCCGCAAGAATTGTGGAAAAAAGTAGTTGAGTACTCGTGGCATAAGCCTGTGACACTGGAAGATGTGGAAATGTTTCGAAAGTGCAACACTCTCTCCTACAAACTTCAGACACTTGCTATGATGGTGAACTGTGTACTCTCAAATAAGGTGAGTTGTCAATTCTATACTATTATTATGTTGACAATATCTTCCCACAGGTCCCACCACAGCCCTATGACATTGCACCTGCACATCCTGCAGCCATGCCTAGGTATGTAGGGAATATTGCATGGAATAATATTCAAGGAAATTAATTATTCACTGTACGTTGTCTTAGTGCAAATTCTGAAACGGAAGATATACCATTTGTTGAAGAACCATCTATCGATTTCTTTTGTCCGGTAATGTTGGATCTGCTGCGCCAACCTCACCTCGCATCATGTTGTGGTCACCACCTGTCTGCTGTCGCCGTTACCAAATGGAAGATAATAGAATGTCAGCCTTGCCCAGTGTGCAAGTCATCTACTTGGGACACAATGTTTGACAAATATTTTGAACGTAAAGTTAGAGAACTACCTGTGTTCTGCCATCACAAGAATAGAGGATGTGTGTGGCAGGGGGAGTTGTCTGCCCTTGACAACCATGCTGAGTCTTGTCCCAAGAAACACGTACCACTACCTGCACATATGTAAGCTGATACCTTTTGTGTGGTAGTATGTAGTTCCAAAATGAAATTCCTACATAATTTTGGAGTATTTTGTAGTGAGGTACGTATATAGCATTCTCAGGGCTATGCATCTGTGCTATTGTGTGAGACAATGGATTTATGCCCTCTAGTAGCTTTCCTGCAGTGTTCTCTCCTGCATTGCTCTCTTTTGTGTTTTGCTTATACCTTTAATAGCATCTGTGTTGTCGCAGAGATAAGAGTTCACCTGTCATTAGCTGTCCTTCCTTGGTGTCCTTGTTTGCTGTGCCTTTGCCTTTCTTTCCGCAGACAAGACAATATGCATTGATCACTGAAATAACACGTTTTTGAAATTTTAGCCATTCCGTATGTGTATTTCAACAAAATGAGTGATAGTAATGACTTTTGTAGTCCAACTTCAAACAAACACAGGGATAAGAGTTTAATGGTCATTAGCTGTCCTTCCTTGGTGTCCTTGTTTGCTGTGCCTTTGCCTTTCTATACCTCTTAGTTGATACAATGCTTCACAGATTTGCTCCTGCTTCCTAACATATTTGTGACTTTGTCCAACAACTTACGTGGTGAACACAGACAAGAAAACATGCATTGATCACTGAAATAACACTTTTTAACCATTCTGTATGTGTATATCCAAGGGAATAACAAAATGAGTGATAGTAATGACTTATAGCAAAGAATCCATATACGTTTTAGCAGACATACAAATGGTAATTGTGGCTATAAAGCATTTTTTGTTCTGAGCCATCTGCCGTTAACTTGGTTGTATGTAGCTATCCGCATACTTGCGTTGACAGCCTTTGATTTACACAAGCTGATACCTTAGTATGTAGTTCCAAAATGAAATTCCTACATAATTTTGGAGTATTTTGTAGTGAGGTATATAGCATTCTCAGGGCTATGCATCTGTGCTATTGTGTGAGACAATGGATTTATGCCCTCTAGTAGCTTTCCTGCAGTGTTCTCTCCTGCATTGCTCTCTTTTGTGTTTTGCTTATACCTTTAATAGCATCTGTGTTGTCGCAGAGATAAGAGTTCACCGGTCATTAGCTGTCCTTCCTTGGTGTCCTTGTTTGCTGTGCCTTTGCCTTTCTTTCCGCAGACAAGACAATATGCATGATCACTGAAATAACACGTTTTTTGAAATTTTAGCCATTCCGTATGTGTATTTCAACAAAATGAGTGATAGTAATGACTTTTGTAGTCCAACTTCAAACAAACACAGGGATAAGAGTTTAATGGTCATTAGCTGTCCTTCCTTGGTGTCCTTGTTTGCCGTGCCTTTGCCTTTCTATACCTCTTAGTTGATACAATGCTTCACAGATTTGCTCCTGCTTCCTAACATATTTGTGACTTTGTCCAACAACTTACGTGGTGAACACAGACAAGAAAACATGCATTGATCACTGAAATAACACTTTTTAACCATTCTGTATGTGTATATCCAAGGGAATAACAAAATGAGTGATAGTAATGACTTATAGCAAAGAATCCATATACGTTTTAGCAGACATACAAATGGTAATTGTGGCTATAAAGCATTTTTTGTTCTGAGCCATCTGCCGTTAACTTGGTTGTATGTAGCTATCCGCATACTTGCGTTGACAGCCTTTGATTTACACAAGCTGATACCTTAGTATGTAGTTCCAAAAGGAAATTCCTACATAATTTTGGAGTATTTGTAGTGAGGCAGGATTCTCAGGGCTATGCATCTGTGCTATTGTGTGAGACAATGGATTTATGGCCTCTAGTAGCTTTCCTGCAGTGTTCTCTCCTGCATTTCTCTCTTTTATGTTTTGCTTATACCTTTTTAATAGCATCTGTGTTGTCACAGATATAAGAGTTCACCCCGGTCATTAACTGTCCTTCCTTGGCGTCCTTGTTTGCTGTGCATTTGCCTTTCTATACCTCTTAGTTGATACAATGCTTCACAGATTTGCTCCTGCTTCCTAACAAATTTGTGACTTTGTCCAACCACTTACCACTAGCTATACACCTTTCTACTTTTTCAACCTAATGGTGAACACAGACAAGACCACATGCATTGATCACTGAAATAACACTTTTTAGCCATTCTGTATGTGTATTTCCAGGGAATAACAAAATGAGTGATAGTAATGACTTATAGCACCAAAATAAAAGAATCCATATAAGCATACAGATGGTAAATGTGGCTATAAACCATTTTTTGTTCTGAACCATCTGCCGTTAACTTGGTTCATATGTAGCTATGCACATACTTGTGTTGACAACCTTAGATTAAACAAGCTGTGATTAGCGAGCGAAGCCCCCTTGCTGTCTGAATGTGGGATTTTATATAACAGACTCCACGTACGATACATGTTTACGTGATTCTGTATGCAATGAAATGCATATGCTCGCTTAGCCGCCAAATATTTGTTGCATCCCTCTAGTAGGCAACCTTTTATTATGCAACATACTCTTGACAGGGTCTTTTAGGGAAAGGAACACTCCAATTATCAGTCTATTTGTCATAGTGATTGTTGCTCTACATTTATCTAAAAGAGCCCTGCCTTATGTTGTCTTATAACAGGGTCATTTTAAAATTAGTAGACCTATGGCGACGCCAAAGTATAATCCTTATGTATGTTAGGGGATCTGAGAAATTGCTAAAAAATTAAAAGTTAACGAATGCTCTTGGAGGCTAAAAGAGCTCTGCCTTATGTAGCCTTATGACAGGTTCATTATTTTAAGGATTAGTAGGGCGGCACTAAAATATTGCACTTATGTATGTTAGAGGATTGAAAAACATTAAAACTTAACGATTGCTCTCGGAAACTGTCTGGGCTAAAAGAGCTCTGCCTTATGTTGCTTATTAACAGGTTCATTTTATTTCTCTTCAATTAGTAGGCCTATGGCGACGCCAAAATATTACCCTTATGTATGTTAGGGGATCAGAGAAATTGAAAAGTTAATGAATACTCTTGGAAACCTATCTGGGCTAAAACAGCTCTGCCTTATGTCACAGGTTCATTTTGATCCTAAAGGATTTGTAGGGCACCTGTGTATGTTAGGGTATCAGAGAAAATTAAGTTAATGAATGCTCTTGGAAACTATCTGGGCTAAAACAGCTCTACCTTAGGTAATTTTGCTCTCTTCTTCTACGTACGCACGATACAATTAGCTAACAAAAATCAAAATGAAGGGGATATAGGGATGGCTTGAAGAACTAAATAGGAGGAAAGAAAGGGATCATTACACAGCAAAGATGCACAAAGCTACCTGACACCATCCCTATATCTTTGTCTGATATTTTGCCTATGAATAAATGGAACAAAGATATAGGGATGGTGACATGTAGCTTTGTGCATATTTGCTGTGTAATCACCCCTTGTTTGTTCCTTTTTGGTACTTCAAGCCATCCCTATATCCCCATTTATTTTGAATAAATGATTTTTCCACTTGTTTCCCCTATTCTATAAAAAAGATATATAGCTATGACTGCACTGCATTTTATGATTACTGGTATATACTCTGATGTTCATGGGTATATACATGTTGTAGAGAGGTTACCATGGACAAACTGTAACTGTGGAAAGCAGTAGCTAATAGTAATGATGGGCTGCTGGTGCCTGAAGTAGGAGGTAGTAGAGACAGAGATATTCGTACTGTCTCCTACAATGACCTTATTAGGTTATGGCACACAGTGGGGGTTTCATGGGCGGCTTCAGACTACAATGCTAGCTAAACCTAAGGCGCTAAGAAGGGTGGCTCTTGCGTGTCAGGCAGGTCCCATGTAACTACGCGAAGCTAGTAGCCAACGCGGACTCTGCGAAGTTGTTCCTCGTGCAAATCGACAGGAAACGCAGTTTAACGAGTGTGTAGAATGAAGGCACTGGAGCCGAGTTCATTATGACCCGCCTGGCGGCAAATGCGTGCATGGGTGCAGAGTTAGCAGCAAATGGCGTAGTTCAGTATCTACCGTGGAGGAGCTCCCCGATCCACCGTTGGGACTTGCAGCAAGAAAGAAATGACAGCTTGATATCCGTACACACCTCCGGAGAATCTGGAGACGTTTAGTGAAAAAATCATCGCTTCAACTTGTTCCGGTATAAGGAGATAGCTAGCTGATTTATGAATAAGTGTTTGGAGGACTGACAGTGAGTATAAAGTTGTGTGGCACATGTATAGCTGGATACGGGCCCTTAGACTATTGCTAACGTATTTGAAGCCATAGCGAGTCATTCTCGCCAAGTTTTGAGGCGTTTTGTAGCTACACAGATCATGTGAGATTTGACCTGTGCCATCCCTATATTATAGAGTGTCTACACCGACGCTCTTTTATCTGAGTCGAGGTATGTATAAAAACACATTCCTATAAATGTAACAGTGATAAACCCCTAAGAGATCCGGTCAAGAGTGAAGAGCAACAGCATTCCGAAGAACCACAGCAATTTGAAGGTAATACCAGCAACATACAACCTGCCCTGCTAAAGGCTCCTGACCAGCCAATGATTTTCTCTGTTCCAATAATAAATATCATTCCGAGAATTGGAAGCAGCCTGGTCCGCAAGTGCCTTGGAGTACTGGTTGTGACAATGTTGCTACTGCCCCTGTGCCTGGACCCACTTACTCTTCCACCTTTACGGAAGAACTTCTCAAACGAAACTCAAGACCAGCTACTACGACCACACACCAAACTACTCAATATGTAAGGCAATAATGATAATTGCTAGCAGGCGAATGCAGGGAATTTTAGGTGAGCGGGAGCGAGTACACAATGACTGCATCTGCATGAGCCATCTAAGCTTATTTACAAATTGCACCTTGGAACCACGAAGATTGGAAAGAGGTATATACAACCTCGGCCATGCACCGAAGAGTGCAGCGAATGCCGTCAAATGGACGAGACTTCTCTCGCTTGCTAAATTGCGCATGAAGAAACGAGTGAGGGAGTGTGTAAAATCTTATTTGATAAATAGAAGCGCATAATAAAACACATGCACAGTTGGACGATGTACGATAATTATAAAATCACGCCGTTTGGAGCACTAGGTTAGCTCGCTCTCGCTTGCCAATAATTATGTTTTATCACTTGAATCCTTGTAATAATGCAGATATGACGAAAACAATATTAACGTTGTGGGAGTACCAATCCTCTCAGAACAGTTATTTCTTTACACTGGGAGGGAAATGGATTTCATCTGGGAAGAAGCTGGCATTAGCCTTCATTTCCCTACTGTTCATGATATGGAGACTATAAAGATTTCAGTGGCAGTTGTGCCAAGGATTGATGAAAACAGCATCTTACCACCGCGATATCGATATATGCCTGCTGTCAGTGCAACATACAAAATCAAGGCGAGTGCTACCCTACCAGCTCCAGTCAGAATAAAGATAGAACACTGTGCCATCTTGGAGAACGAAGATGAACTCATTTCAATGGTCGCACATAAAGGACCTCCTCACTACTTTCAACCACTGCCTGCCAAAAGTTTTTCATTGCAACCATCATATGCTGAAATGCATGTGAAAAGTTTCAGCCTATTCCGTTTCTTTTGGAATTTACTAGGATTTTTTCCAACGCGCCTTTCAATTCAAGTGTTTTACCATAAGGACAGCACTGCAACATTTGTGGTGACAAAAAATCTGAAAGCCCAAATTACAGCTGTCAGAGAGACAATAGCATACATTCATGTTGAGGACGTGCCTATGTCATATGACACTAAACCTGATGCAATTGCCTTTTCTCTACCAGTGGATTCAAATGGTTGGCACATATCATCAAACGTTGAACCGGCAGAAATCAAAACTCTGGATATCGATGCATATGAACCAGGAGAAATTTGCCCAAAACTAAAAGTGCGTATTAAGTGGAAAGGCAGTGGAGATCCAAAAGAAGAGATAATCAAAGTACCAATTCATGGAGGTTCTATCACATCCTTTGCTCTACTGTGTAGTCCCAAAAGCCATATTCACCGTGACCAGAGCCAAACACAGCAAGTTTCCTTGCAAGATGATGTGCCACATAATTCGCTCAACTGGACACTACAGTGCGAAGGTGAGACAGAGTTTTTATCGCACATGTAGAGACCAGTTATTTGCAATAATTCAAACACTGTTTACCCTCTACGAGCATGCACAGCAAGGGTTACAGGGTTACAGTCTGTCACCAGCTATTCTGGCACTATAGGCCACGAGGCAGCATCTGAGCCCACCAATAATATCACTACGAGAGCTTCAAAAACAAAATGGCATTTTCCTGAAACAACTACATTTGGGGGGGTTTGGCATGAAACAAGTGAAAAATCCATTATGCATAATAAGCACTTGCCTGGGGGTATTTAGTCCCTAAACGCTACTCACTGATGCAGCTAAACTGTGTTAGATGGCTACTAACACATTCCTTGTGCCGAGGGCTAGCACTTTCTTTGTTTGCTCCAATCTCTCATTGTCCCCCCTCTACAACATACACACTCCTGCACACACACATTTTGTAAAGGACCGCTGTTAAACAGGATAAATGCTAAACTGAAGGATGTGGACTGGAAAAGTTTACAATATGAACTGAAACTAGATCAGGAAACGTCCATCCACACTACCTGCCAGAATGAACCTGATCCGGTAAAATGCCGATTGGGACAAGTAGTGAAGATATTTATCAACACTCAAGACCCTGAGCCTTGTTATGAAACAGTGGATAAGATTGCTTCTGCTCTTAAGAAGCTCGATCCTCCTCAGATCAGGGTAGCGAATGAGCTAAGAGAAATGTGCACATCTACAGGTATGAGCAGAATAATAATGTATATTCATCTGGGCATAATTTCTATACAGTTAGGCACTGACTAATGATTTAAGCTCAAACTCATTTTTGCAGTCGTACATTCCTTCATGTGCTGATTATGATTTGATGTCCTGTACTGCAGACTTCCTCATGCATTAACTTATGCGCCTTAGGTAATAATTTCATGGACCACCCCTATTATACGAAATCGAGTGTTTCCTTCGCCAAAATATTTGCTTTCTTGTTTCTTCCTTTTATGCATAGTCAGGTGCTCCATTGCGTTGCTGAGGTTACAAAAATTCAACACTTGTGGTTGAGAGCATGGAATACACACCAACGTTAACCTGTGTGATTTTGTCTCCCTTACCCCAGGACACCCTCAACATCTAGAAGATCAAAGACTGCCATAGCACTAGGTTTTCATGTTCAAAGGACACCAGGTACATAAAACTTTATTTACCATCCACTATAATTATTATTATAATTATTTATTTTAGTGATTATTTCCTTTTTGCAACGGCCAGTAAGTAATGACGGCCCAACACGGTTGCATTGCACTTGTCAGCTAGATAAACATTCTTCTTCGTAAAGGGTCTGGGGAGCTGCATGCAAGCTGAAGAATTTCGGTGTTTAAGTTAGCGTGAATGTTGGACGAAGCGAGCAGCTCAATTCGTGCTTTACACACACCAACCTATCTGATATGTGTCCGCGTGTCTCCATTAGCCTCACGGAGCCACCCCCGACAAGGTGTGGCTCCGTGAGGCTATAGCGCGTGGGACTGGCGTTTTGCTTTAGTAGCACGTCACCGACACCCTAGCTTGTTTTATTCACTGGACGTAGAACCACCACTAGATTTGAATGATGTACCTAGCACGAACTTATGGATCAAGTCCAACTTGGCATTATGAAAAAAAGGTCCTCAAGGAAGTTAGCGTAATTGAGTGTCTGTATATATGCGGATGCCTTCACGTCCGCCAAGCTACAGCATGCCGCAATAAAACTGCTACTCATTTCTCTCACTCCCATAATGCTGCCCAACCAATGGTGAACACTGTACATGTAGAAATTGCAATAACTTCTATAGTGATTATTGAGGAATGAAAAGCACTGAAGTGCAAACCCTCGGCGCATTGTGACGCGCACACGTAAGTAAACGCATACGCCGTACCACTAATTGACGGGCTGGGTTTAGTTTTAGCTGTTACTCGTGGTCTCTTGCCAGCTCGCGCAGAGTCTGACGCGGGATACCTACACTACTAGGTAGCATGCGAGAGGCGATACACGCCCTGCGTTGCATATTCTGGTGCCTCCGAGGTACGCAGAGCACGCGGATCGGTCAGACCGTAGTAAGCCATTCCCGTCCGTTGTGTATTTGCATATTGGCTTTTTCGCGCTCTAGCTTTGCAACGGAGCAGTTTCAGAGAAAACCGTTCGAAACTTTCTGACCTTCATTGCCCGTTAAGTAGGTCGTATATATCCTTTGTGAGACGAACAAACAGCCGAGGAGTGACATGAAGAGACAGACCCAACTACCATGTGTAACCCTTGTAAATCAGCATTCTATTGGATCAAGAACTCCGATACCACAACTTCAGTTCTTGTATCAGCCATGCAATCACGTCGTTTCATTGGCGGCAATTGTTCGATCATCTTAGACGCATGTGAACAAGTTGAAAAATGAGTTATATGTTTTCCAGTGCCCGCCATGGTTTGTATGGGATAACGGCACTGGAAGCTGTAACTCAGGGCCGCCTTTTAGATGGTTTATTGATAGCTTACATGATTTGTCACCAACACAAACCAGCATAATGGAATGCTACTGTATGACAGAAGAAGATGGAGTCCTGACTGTTGGCTTCTGCTTACACATGTGTCTAGCTTTGCAGTATACCGCACTGCCATGTTCAGGATGTTTCTCAGCTGGACGAGTGGTCATGCTCCTACGCTGGCACCCGTGGGTTTCTCTGCAGCCAATGTATTGACGGCTATGGATTCCCTGTGTTCAGGGTGTGTTCAATGCAAGGAGGGCAAAAATATGTGGTAATTGCATGTGTTCATTGCATAGTGAAATGTGCACGGATTCGTACTCACAAAATGAGAATCAAAATGTGACCAAAATACTTCAAGAACTTGATTCCGGATGGTAAGAATAGAGTGATCTAGGTTAATATGTGGGAGAGAGTTCCAGAGCCGTGGAAGTCTGTTGAAATACAAGTGACGTGTGACGTTGGATTTACAGAGGGAATGCGTCAGCTTCAGGTGAGTTGAAGACCGGGTATTGACTTCTGAGAAATGAACGTAAGACTGCAGGGAAAAAGTTTTAGAGGGATCAGGGGTCTTGAGGTAACGGATGAAGAACATAATGTCATACAGTTCAAGTTGCATAACGAGAGGGAGAAGTCTAAGTGACAGTAAGCGATGCTTGTAATCTGACTTGTAGTCGTTCAGAATATACTTTGTAGCACGTCTCTGGATTCGTTCCAGCATAATAATATCTTTTACGAGATGGGGCCTCCAAATCTGTGAACCGTAGGACAGTTGAGAACGAACTAAGAGGATGTACAAGTTCTTTTTAGCCTTAGTATCAAGACCAGAGGAAAATGAACGCCGAATGAGGCCTAGCACTTTGTATGCTCGAGATGCAATGAACTTGAGATGGTTATTCCATTTAAGGTCACTAGACAATAAAATCCCAAGGTCACGATGACAGTTAAGAACTTAGATTTCAGTGTTATTGATAGTGTAGTCAACGATGACGCGAGGAAATTTGGGACTAAATCTCAGAACAACACATTTCTTTGCATTGAACTGGAGGTGCCACTTTTGGCTCCATAGAGACAGGCGAAGGAGGTCATTTTGGAGTAAACGACAGTCAGATGGAGTGGAAACTTTGTTTAGACACTTGGCATCATCAGCAAATAGGAATATTTGAGAGCAACCGATAGAGGATGGAATATCATTGACGAATATTAAGAACAATAGAGGACCCAAGATACTTCCTGGCGGTACTCCTGAGATGACTGGAAGTGGATCAGAAATACAGCGATTGAGTGTAACGTGTTGTGATCGACAGGATAGATAGGCTGGAACCATATCCACAGGTTGCCAGTGATTCCAAAAGACCACAGCTTTACTAGAAGTTCGTTATGTGGGACACTGTCGAAAGCTTTCTTAAAGTCGAGGTAAACAACATCAGCTTGACAGTTTGAGGACAGGTAGTCCTGAAGGGTAGTGAGGAAAACCAGTAACTGTTGAATTGTCGAATGCTTTGGACGGAATCCAAACTGCGAGGTAGAAATTGAGGGAGAAACAAAAGGGAAGATTTTATTATAGATCAGTCTTTCCAGAACTTTAGAAACCGAGCAGAGGAGAGAAATCGGTCGATAGTTACAGACAGATGACTTGTCACCGGATTTAAAAAACCGGGACAATGAGGTGAGTTCGTCAATCTGAGGCAGGTAGTGCTGTGAGAGGCTGAGCAAGGAAAGGTGATGGAGGGGTTTGTAAAAGTGCCAGTGCACAATTTTTCAGAACCTTGGGACCAATTCCATCAATACCCATAGCTTTAGATGTGTCCAGAGAAGACAGAGCCTCAAAAACATCCAATTCAGATATTGAAATATCAGATAAAGTATGATCAGGTACTGGCAACTCCTCACAATCATTAGAGCCAGTGGAATCATCTAAAGAGACAATTGGTGGCACAGAAGGGGCAGAAGAAAGGCTTTTTATGTAGCTAAATATTTCTGTGGAGGATTGCGAACATAGAGTTTGCTCAAAATGAGTTTTAGCAGATGTAATGAGCCCGCTGAGTCTGGACTCAAGAGACTGAAGATTGGAAAAGTTGTTCGGAGTCGGATGCACAGTACACTTTCGTCTTTGAGTACGAAGGCATTTTATAACATGGCGGATCTCAGAGTTGAACCATTTGGGATGATTGGTGATCGTAATTCTAACTTTTGGGATGAAAAGGTTCATACCCCTTGAGATTGTGGCCTTCAAAAATGACCAGACCTGATCAACGGAGACAGATTGAAGATAATAACTAAAGTCAACATCCAAGAGGAAGTCGCACAACCCCTCATAATTGGCTCTTTTATAATCAAACACGAAGACAGGTTTGTGAGACTTGTTTAGAGGAAAATTGGATTCAATAAAGAAGGAGATTTTGTAGTGATCGGAAGGGAGGGATTATAAGGCTTTGACACATGAAATGTGACTGATAATATGTTCGCTGTTCGTAAGAAGAATATCCAGAGTATTCCCTTTAACATGAGTAGGAGAGTTGATGAGCTGAGCAAGATTGGTGTCAAACACAAAGTCACAAAATAAGTTAGAAAGTGGAGAACAACCAGAAAGAGAAGTCCAACAAATGTCTGGCAGATTAAAATCCCCAACGATGATAAGGATCTCTTCATTGGCAGCAAGGAACTTCAGGAAAGCAATCAGTTGATTGAAGTAAGTGATATCAGGATTTGGAGGGACATACACCGAACAAAGAGAGATAATATGATCACCTGAAAGGCAGAGTTTGATACACACAACTTCAAAGTTGGGAGGAGAAGGAATCAGCATACTTGGCATTTACAGCTATTCCGTGATTCCCTATCCTTACGGTAAATTGTGAACTTGTTAGGAAGAATCTCATTATCATAGACGTGAGCAGACAACCAAGTCTCTGTGATGCAGATAATGTCGTACGAAGAAGAGTAGACAAACGATTGGAAATTGGAGAGTTTATTAATGAGACTGCGTGAATTTTGATAAAAAGGTTTGGGTAGTCATTGACTGGAGACAGGAGTGGTAGAAGAGGACTGAGGAGGAGAAGATGGTGGCAGGGTCGAAGATGGATCTTGAGAGCTAGCTGAGCAACCATTTACATTCAGGGCCACAGACGTTACAACCTGTGGTTGAGACAACTGGGGTGTAGTGATGGGAACAATGGGAGAAGAGATTTCAACAGCACTGTCATTGACAACAGAGCGTGACTTTTGACAACTGAACAGAAGGTCGGAGCCGCAACTCGAGACTTTACCATAGAGCATGTTTCTGACAAGTAAACGAGAACCACGTATTTTTATGACATCGCGGGGGACACCTGACTGCATTAGAGACCACCGTTCTTTCAGAAGCAATGATTCACATTTTCTCTCTTTAGGGGACATGTCAGGTTTGATGACAATAGGGGAACCTCGCGAAGATCCTCTTTTTGAAAGGATCCTAGTGGCATCTGCTGCACGAATGAATTTAACAAGTAGGGGTCGAGGTTTACTGTTTCCGGTAGAGAACTTGCCAAGACGGTAGATATCCTTAATGGAATGGGAGTTGATGGACTCGTTCACATCAGAAAGAACCGAGGTGGCCTTTTTGAGATCTTCCTCAAGGCGTGCAAATTTGGTAACACCATGACTCTCATCTACCCTAAACAAAACAACATTGAATTTCCTCTCCTGGCTGCGATTATTTGCTTGGGAAGAGACGGTAGAGCTAGAGGGTGGGGAGATAGAAGCCTCGTTTATCGGTGCAGGGACACTACGCGAACTGGAGGGAGGGAGGCTTGCGGGGACCGACCGTTGCACCGACGTAGCCGAGTTTAGTTCGGCGATTTCACCTTTTAACTGGTCGACGGCAGCATTGAGACCATCGATTTCCCTTCTGTGCTTTTCCAGACAGCACGCATAACAAAAGAAGGTAGCGCCTTTCTCCTTGATGCCCTTGTAGACCTGGGTACTCACACCCGCGCAGTAACGATGAAGCCATTGCTGGCAGCCTCCACCACAAAATAAGGACTCATCTTTTTCCTTCGCCACCGGTTGACAGCAAGCACAGCAAATCTCCTTTGACATGGACGACTTCGCTTTCTTCTTTGGAGGCATAAAGACGTTGCCTCCACCAGCGACACAGCGACACCACCCAATAATTGATGGGCTTGGCTTTTAAGTATGCGTTTACTCTTGGTCTCCATGCTATTAGCTCGCGGAGAGTCTGACACTGGCTAGCTGCAGTAGTAGATAGCATGCGGTTCCCTTTCATCCGCTGTTTCAGCGGCGAGGCCTTCCCTTGCCCGTTCGCTATACCGCAAACGGCGTTGAGAAAGCCGAGCCTCTCTCTGCTCAGGAGTCTCACGAGCACGACGTTCTCTTTCCTCGCTCTCTTCGGCAACAAAGGGCATCCTCTGTCGACTGACGACCCATGGCAGTCAGACTAGCACACAGTGCCTGTAACGAAGCCGCGCATGCCCACTTACACGACGTACTACCAACCCTCGACAATGTGCATGTGTCAGGCTGGGCTTCAGATTTCTACGTCTGTGAGAACACCCAGGGAACCGTCACCAACTCCACCCCAGTTCCTCCCTGCATGGTGAACAACACCCTGCAACAAGGAATGACTACATCCCAAAAGATCTTAAATATACTTTTTTATAACCATAGTGTAGCTAAACGTATCAGGTGATACACAATGTATATATACTTATGTTGATGGCTGTCGAAACAGGTTTTTTTTGTTTTCAAAAGTGAGGGGTGGTTTTTAAGGCGCTAGCTATGTATATACAGTTAGATAAAAATAGCTACATGACGTCGTCCACAAACTCTACTATATATGCTGTGTAGGTAATTGAGTACTTTGAAAGATCTACAGGTGGGTTGAAAGTCACCCTACACTTTTCAGCCACCACACCATCCATCATAAACCGATCGGGAGTTGCATGAACACAATGGTCGAAACTAACATTCGTGATGTCGGCATCGGTAAAATCAATAATCGCATCAAATCGACACCTTTTGAACTTTGCGCCGACTAGGATACTGCCTTCGAAAGAGACACTGTGCTTGAAGTGGACACATTCAAACTCGATTCCAGCTATGTTCATATTCTTGATCAGATTCTGCTGCGTTGTTTCACGAGGTTGGTTTTGGGAACTCAGGTTTAAAAGTGGAGTCTTGAAATAGTTCTTGGCCTCAAGATTCGCAAAGGTTGTAGGTTTCTTATGGACGAGTCGAACTCTGTGGCGCTCCAGCAGCTTCATAAATCCGTTTAATCGGTAATATGTGGCTTCGCATATCATTTCTTCCAGGTCTAAATCATCTTTGTCGCGCGTTGACGGAACACTTCCTCCCCCTGTCGCATATAGCTAAGGATGAAGCGAAAGTGTTTGCTGTCGCGGTCGATGAAGACGCAAGTTTCGTTACGATCTTTCCGTCGATCGCCGATTATCTTCACGAGGTCCGGAAAGATCGAATCACGCTGGCCTTGTAGGGTGCGAATGTCTGTCCAGAACTTTTCGCCACCCACATTCAGCGTTATTATGTGCGTTCCTTTTCGGCTACAGGGAACGGACTAGCTCCAGTCTTAGTTTCTTCAAACGCTTTTCTCTCCTTCTTCAGCCCGTCCTTGGCTGCAGTGACGCGCTCCTCGTGTATTTCCACAGCACGCTTCAACTCCTGCTCCTTTCTCGCCCTTTCAATCTCGAACCTATCCCTTTCCTCCTTTAGCCGTTTTTCCTTGTCCCTGATGTAGGTTTGGGTCTCGGACAATTGATGAAGACACTTCTCAATATCCTTTTCAGGGGCAGAGTTTCGTCTAATATCCATGTAGCTGGTCATATTGCGGTATGCCAAGAGCTAACACCTAGTGATACTTGTTTGTAGCTTTATAGCTGCGATATTGAACTTAGGCTGTATTTTAGAGTAGAATATATTCACTTATCTACAAGTGAGCTTGCTATGTGCACATGAAAGGCTGGTTAGATGCGTTGTGTGACGACTGATCATGTGATAGTGAATACGTCCCTATACTAATGTTTAACTTATTCACGTCCACAAGTTCAACGAAATGCAGGGCCTAGCTACTACCGTCTAACTACTGCAGGGGTGTAGCAAAGAGTGCAAACACTATAGCAAAAGCTACAGTCATGCCATCATTGCAAACCTATAGTTAGCTAAATAGAGTTATGAGTAAGCACTGGCACAGTTATAAAGAGCCCTAACCCTAGGGTTTCTTCTACGGGGGCAAGAGGGGAAAGTCCTCGAAACACATAGATGACCTAATGACACTTAGCTACGTCTGATTTTGTCCTACACAGCAGCACAACCTTCAGTTATGAAGAAAGCCTTTCCTCTCCACTGGATGAGGCAGCACACCCTTTCTAAGATGTTATTCGTGACTATAGTCTAGACCTCACTGATATTCATCCTCAAGATTGATGATTCAGAGGAAATACACTCTGCACCTGCATGCTGTAGCTAGCTAATTATAGCCATGTTTCCTCGTAGCATACAAAACAAAAACATGGGCAGTGGAAAGTAGCTTATTCAGTAGGTACCAATGCATCCTGCATCCACGCATTTGTTGTGCAGAACGCCATTACCTACGTATAATAAACCAATAATAGTAAATGACCTGATCTCCTGTATTTCTGCTGTGAAAATGATTATTAGCGTGAACTGCTTAGCAACTATAGCTAGCAGTGTTGCAACCTATTCTGAGCTCGCGAACGTGGTGTGCTACTCAACGAGGTTTGACCCTGTGGGTGGGGCCGGTGGGCCCGCATTGAAGATCGCGCGCGCACGCATGCCCCGCGGGTAGCTATAGAGTTCGTACGTCCCAGGTTGACGCGAATGGCCGCCTGCCGTGTTGATATCGAGCCGGAGGAGGACCAGTCGGACTATTACGACATACTCCTCCTGGGTCGTACTGGACAGGGCAAGAGCACGACAGCCAACAAACTGCTCCAGACGGATATAACCTTTTCAGAGCCCAACCCTTACACCCAACAGTGGGTGGAAGAGCTCTCGGAAGACGGGCAGGAGAATGCAGCTGAAGAAGCGGCAGGTGGCGGGGGAGAGGAATCCAGAGTGATCTTCAAGACTGGGAAGGGCATCGAATCCGTTACTAGCAAGTGTCAGCTTGTCTCGAATGTTGTCACGAACATCCGCGTGCTTGACACTCCGGGATTTGCCGACTCTCGGGACACCAAGAAGCACGGCGTCTACAGGGGAAACTTCCGTATCTTTAGGTCTATCCTTCGCGCTCAGGACGAGAACGACCTAGCCTTCAGTCGCGTTCTCTACTTTCTTCCGCAACGTGGCACCCCCGAGCGAATGGACGGCACGTTCCGGAAGAGATAAAAGTGATGCACGGCTTTCTGGGGGCCGAGTCTTCAAAATAATGGTCATTATCGCCACAAACCGCTACAGGAGGGGCAAAACGCGAGATTGAAATTGATGAAAGATGATCTTGACGACATTAGAAAAGTGTTTATGGGGGCACTCGAAAAGATTACTGGCACAGCCGATACTGTGGAGAAAATTATCAATCAGTGTCCACCCATCATTTACCTCCCATACCTCGAAAGTGATGTAGTCCCTCGAATAGTATCAGCCGAGGTTCTTTATGAAGGACCGTTGTGTAAACCGCCGGTGGTAGACGTTTCTCCTGGCTCGAGGCCTGTAGAGGAACTCATTCGAGAAGCAAAGCAGAGAAACATGGGGTAGAGAAAGCTTCAGTTTCACGACAGGTGCGTCAAGTGTTCTGCAAAGATCATCTACTCAGAGTCCCCGGATGGAAGAACCCCAAACAGGGTCATCATCAACGAAAGCGGCGAAGACGAAAAAATCCTCGGCTACAACGACAGCAAATGTCATCCCCTCCTTATACCGCGCCACTCAACCGCTAAAAAGATTGTCGGTGGAATATTGCACATTGCCACACTTGGTGTGTTTGTAGCGGCAGGGAAGATGCGTGGAAGGAGGTTTTGGCCTGGGTTTACCAACGAGGACGAAGTGTTGTGCAACTGCAAGAAAGAGCCAAGCGCCGAGCCTTGCCTTGAGGTCGACAAGATGTTCAAACTGAAAATAAGTGAGAGTGAAACTTTGAGTATCAAGACAAATCACTCAACCACACTGAACAAGCTACGTGTGGAAGGACAATGAATTTGTGTTTAGTGCATTACTGTCGCTCATGAATATTTTTGCACATCTGGACCTAAAAACACTGTTTACTTTGTTGTACTATCGGAGCGTCTGTGGACACATACTATGCCTTCAGAACGTTGTTTGGCGACCAAGCACGAGCAGGTTTGCGCGTGTATATATTTAGAATCGCGTGCACACCAGGAATTCGAGCAACTGGATGACAAATTTGTGAACCTTTCAATTGATGGGCACTTTTTATAACAATACCAACATGTGGTTCACAAATTTGTCACCCTAAAATTTCAGGGTTCGCAAATTTGTCACCCCCGTAGCTAGTATGTAAAGTAGCTATTACACAGTCCCAAATTTGTAAACCCTCACTTCCAAAGTTGACAATCAAACTTTGCTAAATTCTGCATTTGCTGAAATGTATATATACCTTGTTTTCTTAGAATATTTAGCAGAAGAGTGCTGATTTTTTAATATGATTTTGGGGAAAATCTTAAAATAGGAAACGGAACTTTAAGTTTGAGACACTGTTCTATCTAGCTAGCGGCAACTTTAGTTACCAATGAATTGTTTAACAGAGTACTAGGCTGGATGACGTGAATATTACCGTGCAATAGAAATAATGGATGGGACGGTTACAAAGTGAATAAAGCCTGAGGCAAACACAGAAAGTGTCATCATGGAGTTGGTCAAACAGACGTTTGGATTCAAACATTCATGGATGACCTTCCTGATTGCCTCACACCACTACCACAAACAGATTCCTTTTTCTACTTCTTCAGTCCACCATTAATGACATACTCCATATCTTTACTTGGCTGCAGGCATACTTGCTGCTTTCATCTCTATAACTATGCATGCACTAGGATATAAAAGTCATAATGATTTGTACTCCCCCAAAGCAGTTGTAGCTAGCTACTCACGATAAGCTCCAGAAAATTATTTCAATGGCAAAGGCTATAGTTGTTGGTCTATATGTTTGTATTCTGCTTGTCCAGCAGGCCACGATGTCACATGAAATCCCAACCTACCCTTGGGGTGAGTATCTGCTTGGTCACGAGGAAGTAGCTATTACCATGTTTTACAGTTCGATGCTACAGTGACCGTCAATGTGTTGGATATGGATTTCTAGATGCCCCATGGAATATCTGTTGTCAAAGGGGTTACTGCTACAAATGGTTAGTTTAGTCTATATGCATGTAGTGTATTTGTATATATACTCTATGATTTTTAATAGCCCTGCAAGATTATGTTGTACCTTCTACTGCAGGAGGGCCCGGTGAGTAAGAATATATTATTGTACGTTAAAATTCTTCTTCCTATCTCATTAAAATAGGGAAATAAAAGCTCGTACGTGATAAAGTGGGACATACATGTCTATTTCGGACAAGAATATGTGTCCCTCTATTAGTGTACCTTATAACGTTCTTGAAGTGTTTAATTATTGAGTATGTTACAGCTACTTACCAGCTATATTGCAGTAATGAGTCTACCAGCAGTTTTAGCACACAGTTTAAAATAGAACAAATGCTACTCATTCGCTGAATGTTCCACGAGAGGTGGGTTTCACGTTCTTTAACTTTCCACAGTCTGATAAAGGCTCTCTATACACAATTACAAATTTATTAGGTTCTACACCAGAAACTACCTCAAGCTGTTTTGGAGTTTCTCGAAGGAGGGTCGCATCTCCGGTTGTCGTTCCAGCAGTCAAGCATTATATCATGGAGTTCCCAATTAGAACAACCAGACGGGCGGGGGCATGCGGTAGCCCAGTGATGACTTTTTTCAGAACTTCCTCGTTGTTTCATACAAGGGTATGGTAATTGACCGTAGGTAATTACTCGTAAAGAAGAATCGAACGACCACACACTGACTTATAGAGAAACAGTGGTCATAGCAGGCATCGTGAGCTGTCCATTTAGGTAAAAATAAAAACGCGTCAGTTGCGACATACATGCCGTTTTCATTGTTAGCAAGTAACAGTAACAACATCACCAAGAACTGCAACCTTACACACACTGTCCTCCCCAACAAAAACTTTCCTGGATGCCAGATGAGGTGAATGTAGCCTTTTCCCTCGATGTAGGCCAAACCACTGGCAATTTGGGTAGCCATGTTGATGAGTGCAGGTACCTTTAGAACACGGCCCTCTCCTCGAAGGTAGTCCGACAGACAACCGAATCTAAGCAGTTCCGTGATGATCAAAATAGGCTCTTTCTTCGTGCATAGTCCGTACAACTGGACCAGGTTGTTGTGGTTTAACTTTTTCATGACATTTGCTTGAGCCAGAAGCTTTTTCTCTGCTTCCATGGCACCCGTTCTGACAACAATTGGTTGCTGGTTCCAAAGTCCTTCCCACACCTCTCCATAATGCCACACGGCTTTCATGCACCCCAACTTGATCTGCTGCCGTTCAATTTCCCATAATACATCATCAGAGATAGATAACTGTTTGGAGAATGAAGCCCAAGTATGAACAATAACGGTGCTTAACATTTTTCTTACCTTCTGCCCAGTTTGAGTTGTTAAACTCTTCAATTCTGCCGTAAGGGAAACGATACTTGCATCTTTCACCGACAGCAAATCATTCTTGAGGCTAAGCTCCACCTATACAAAGATGTTCCATAACTTATAGTTTTTGTGTGTGATTGTGGTATATTGCACTAATTGGGGATTTGAATGGTGCATGCAGTTCTCTACTTATAGTTAAATCAGCACATGTGCAAAGTAAGTTTCAGAGGGATTTGTCTGTGGTATATATTACGCAGCATTCCTGCCGCGGAAAAATTAATGTGTGACCGTGGCGTAAGTGTTGAGTGGGAGTAGTATTCTGCAGTGTTCAACTGATAAGCGAAGCCATTCCCCTGATGTTAAGACGAGAAATGAGCACTGAAAGCATTGCATATACTACAAGTGGAAAAATCATTTCTTCAAAATGAAAGGGGGATATAAGGATGGCTTGAAGCACCAAAAAGGAACAAACAAGGAGTCATTACACAGCAAAGTTGCACAAAGTTACATGACACCATCCCTATATCTTTGTTTTATTGTTTATAAGCAAACTTTCCCTTGAGCTAAATATACATGCAAGACAACCTCTATTGCAGAGCCGTATAACAACTAAGATATAGGGATGGTGTCATGTAGCTTTGTGCAACTTTGCTGTGTAATGACTCCTTGTTTGTTCCTTTTTGGTGCTTCAATCCATCCCTATATCCCCCTTTCATTTTGAAGAAAAGATTTTTCCACTTGTTTCCACTATTTTTAACTGCTTATGACAACACTGCATTTTCAGTCACCTGATGTTGATGGGTATATGTTGTAGAGGTAACTGATGAAAGCAGTAGCTAATACGCAGTGTCTCCAACAAGGACGCAATTAGGTTGTGGCACACGGTGGCGATTTCATGGGCAGGGTTCAGTAATCAGATTACTATTAGCTACCCGGGGACAAAGAATGAAGGCCAATTTGTATATACGCCCGGTAAGGCTCGCGTAACCCGGCGCAGACTGCCACCTGCAAATCAACAGCTAAAAGTAAGGTAGCCAGTTTAAATGTGTATACTGACTTACAGAAGGCGCTGGAGGATGAGAGGTCCTCTGCAGGCATCCTGGCTTTTTCTCGTGGAGCGAGACAATGTAATGCGCACGCACCACATTGGAAACGCCCTCCTCGGCGCATGCGGCTCACTGATGCTGAGTTAGCAGCAAAAATGGCGTTGTTCAGTGACTACCGTGGAGGAGCTCAACGATCTACCGTAGTGACTTGTGGCAAGAAAGAGACGATCGCTTGATGTCCGTGCACACCTCTGGCGAATCTGGAAACGTTTGATGGAAAAATCAGCACTTCAACTATTTTCGGTAACGAGATAGCGGGTTTACTGAAGAAGAAACCGGAAGATGAAGAATATGATGATGATGATGACACGAAAAATCGTGAAATCGCGTAAAGAGCCAATTCTCTCGTGGGGAACTGAGGGCACGTAGGAAGTTTTGGGGAGTATGTACAGCTAGGTATTGGCCTGTAGACTATTGCTAGTGATTTTCAAGCAATGGTGAGTCTTTCTCGCCAAGTTTTGAGGCGTGTTGAGTAACTGACACAACTGAATCACAATGCACAAACTACCACTATATATACACACATTAGAATGTTCTAGAATCTTAGCACATGTTCTCCGCACGTGGTTATGCCAGAGGTCAAAGTATATACACTACACCACTCCCCCCCCAGTGTCTCACAACGGTATGTAGGTGTGCAAGCGTTTCGGCCAGTGAACTCGTCGTCCTGATCGTGTGACTCGAGGTGCCGGTGGAGAAGGCACAGGAGTAGGCGTGACGACGTGGGGTGGGTCTTGTGGTTGGGAAGGTAGACCGGAGGAAACGTTGGGGGTAGAGTCGAGATGAGCAGGTTTCAGTCGGTCGAGAGAGACAGTTTCCTTCCGCCCATTAATATCAATGGTGAAATGTTTGTCAGTGCGGGCTACGACCAGATACGGGCCGTTATATGGAGGCTGTAATGGTTTACGTACTCTGTCCACACGAAGAAAAACATGAGTGCAAGTTGACAGGATGTCACTCACATGACTCCCTCGTGGTGTAGATCGGGGTGGTGACGGGCGTAACTGCTGCATGTGCGCTTTGAGCTGCGAAACGAAGTCCAATGGGTCGTTTAATGAAGATGTGGAAGGAGGGTTGAAAAATTCTCCAGGAAGACGGAGGGTGGTGCCATACACCATCTCGGCTGCTGTTGATTGGATGTCTTCTTTCAGTGCCGTTCTGATTCCGAGGAGTACCAATGGTAGAGAATCCATCCATGCGGAAGGATTGGGTTGAGCTTTCAGCGCTGCTTTGAGCTGTCAATGAAAACGTTCCACCATGCCGTTCGACTGAGGGTGGTAAGCGGTTGTTCTGGCGCGTTTCGATCTGAGGAGCTTCATGAGTGCGTTCCAGAGATTGGACTCAAACTGACGTCCGCGGTCTGTGACAATTGTAGAGGGAACCCCAAAACGTGAGATCCACCCACTGATGAAAGTTTGGGCCACGGCTTCTGCAGTGATAGAGGAGAGAGGAAGAGCCTCTGGTCATCGTGTGAATCGGTCTACACACGTAAGGAGGTAAGTGTATCCCCTGGAGGGTGGAAGAGGTCCAACAAGGTCGATATGGACAGTGTCGAATCTCGCCTCCGGGGTCGGAAAAGAAGAGAGTGGAGTGACAGTGTGACGCTGTACTTTTGCACGCTGACACTGGATGCAGGTACGTGACCATCTGCGTACGTCTGCATTCATTTCCGGCCACACGTATCGCGAGGCAAGGAGTTGTCGGGTTGCTCGGATCCCGGGGTGAGAGAGACCATGTAGAGAATCGAAGACAGGCCGTCGCCAGGCGCGTGGGACAAGAGGGCGAGGAGGCCCAGTGGACGTGTCACAGAGGATAGTGTCGGTAGACATTAGCACAGGGATGGATTCCACCTTGAGCGAAGAGGGTGGGGAGGATTGCAGAGCAAGAATCTCTGGATCCGTTTTCTGAGCCTCGGCCATGGCAGCGAAGTCAATTACTGGCGGCAGTCCAGTGACCAGAGCATTGGTTTCGATGCGTGACAGAGCGTCTGCGACCGGGTTGTTGTGTCCTTCGACATGTCGAATGGCCAAGGTAAATTGGGAGATGTAGTCGAGCTGTCTCGCTTGCCGCGGAGAGTGACGATCGAGACGGGCATTGAGAGCGTACGTCAATGGCTTGTGATCTGTGAGGACATGAAAGTGCCGACCCTCCAGGAAATGACGGAAATGCTTGATTGCCAAGTAGACCGGTAACAGTTCCCGGTCGAAGGTACTGTAACGTGTCTCAGCGGGACGTAACTTCTTGGAGAAGAACGAGATTGGCTGCCATGTCCCATCGACTAGTTGTTGAAGCACGGCTCCCACAGCAGTGTCAGATGCATCAGTCATGAGGCAGGTCGGTGCGTCCAGCTTGGGGTACGAGAGCAGAGTGGCGTTGGCGAGAGCATCTTTCGTGGCGTTGAAGGATGAGGCCGCAGTGTCGTTCCAAGCGATGGCCTGGGTCTTGTTAGCGAGAAGTGCGTGCAGGGATTGCATGAGTTCAGCGCCGTGGGGTATAAAGCAGTGATAAATGTTGACAAGACCCATAAACTCTCGTAGCTTCCGCTGGGACGAGGGCTGTGGGAAATCGCGTACAACCTGCACCTTTTCTTGTAGGGGGTAGATGCCGTGTTGGTCAATGCGGTGACAAGGAAAGTTAGAGTGGCGGCACCGAAGAGGCACTTGTGGGGATTGACAACCACCCCATGTTCGCTGAGTCGTTCGAAGACGACGCATACGTGCTGTAGATGTTCGTCTGGCGTCGTGCTGGCAATAAGGAGATCATCCATGTACGCGTAGCAGAAGTGGAGGCCACGCAGAACCTTGTCAATGAAACGTTGAAACGTTTGCGCTGCGTTTCTGAGACCAAACAGCATCCGTACAAATTCGAATAAACCGAACGGCGTGGTCACAGCGGTCTTGTGGACGTCTGTTGGCTCCACTGGAATCTGGTGGTAGGCACGTACCATATCTAACTTCGAGAAGATGGCAGTGCCCTGGAGGGTGGAGGAAAAATCCTGGATGTGCGGGATAGGGTAGCGGTCAGGGACGGTGATCCGGTTGAGAGAGCGATAATCACCGCATGGGCGCCAATCCCCCGTGGTCTTCTTGGGCACCATGTGTAAGGGGGAAGACCAGGCACTGGAGGAAGGGCGGACGATTCCGAGCTGCAACATATTATGGTCAAACTCTTTCCTGGCGATCTTGAGCGGTTCCGGTGCCAGGCGACGAGGACGGGCGGAGACTGGGGGACCTGAAGTGATGATGTGGTGCGTGATGTCGTGTTTGATAGGAGAGTCAGGGGAGCACACTTGTGTGAGGGTAGGGAACTGAGAAAGAAGAGTGAGGTAGGGATCACCTGTGTTTTTGGGAGTGAAGACAGGGCTGGGTGAGGGGTCCTGCGTGACAATTCCTTGGATACGGAGGTGAGTAGATGTGTCCGTAAGCTGGTGTTGTCGCATGTCAACCAGGAGTGCAAAGTGCCGGAGGAAGTCTGCTCTGATGATCGGCTTCTGGACGTCTGCGACCAGGAATATCCACTGGAAGTTGCGACGAAGACCGAGGTTGAGCGTTAGTGAGCGTTTGCCGTATGTTGTGATCGGTGTGTCGTTCACAGTCATGAGAGTGAGTTTATCCGGTGAGCGTTTGCGATCCGAGGGGGAGGGGGTATGATGCTCACCTCTGCCCCTGTGTCCACCAGAAATCGGGTACCGGTATCTTGGTCAGTGATGTAAAAGAGGCGACTGTTGACAGGGCCGGATACACTCATCGCCGCTAGTGCCCGGCCCGAGTGTTTAAACCTCGTGTGCAAGGTTCTCTGCATTTCTGGGCGTCTTCTCCGTATTTGCGGTGGTACCAGCAGAGTGACTCGTGCGATGAGCGAGGCGGAGATGGACTAATGGCACGTCGCGGCGGTCTATACGGGCTTCGAGGGCGGGATCGCGTGGTCAAGGACTCGACCAACCCTGTCAGACGGGACACTTCGTCCCGGAGCTGCTTGACTTCCGAGGAGGAGATTCCTGCGGCGGTAGGGGCAGGGTCAGGGTCGGAGAGGTTAGCGATAGTGGGCGTAG